AAAGCTTTCCTGAGCAGATCAAAAGCAAATTCCTCCGGAATCGAAGACAGTCTCTGCCTCGAGTCATCTTTTATCGGAGGACACTTGTGTTTGCTGTAGATTTTCTCCAAAACGGTTTCAACCCGACCCGGACGAACGATCTCTGATCGCTGCGGAGAAACTTGATCGCCGCCGTGAATGTACGAACTAGTGGTTATCATCTTCTTCCTCGGAATCACAACACTTTGCTCTCTCTCTCTCTCACCCACACACACACAGTTGTTAACTATTTGTTCAGATTTGGAAAAAGGAAAAAATTTAACAAACAGTGTTGTGATTTGTTGATTTGACGATACAAAGAAGAAAAAAAAAGTTGAACATTTTATTTGACTTGATAGATTCGATTTTGTTATATCTTTCTTACACACAAATTCATGTAGCCGTTTACAGAGGTAATTGACACTTATACCATTTCCTTTAGCCCTATAATTACGAAAACGCCACACTTATCCTCGTTTTTGTCTTTTTGTTCTGTTTCGTGAATTGCAATTTCGATTGCGATTGCGGTTGTGCAAACTTAACAAAGTTTGTTCTTTTTAAGCTCATTGTAGTTTACAGCGTTCCATTTATGTCTCTGTCTCTCTGCAATCTGATTCATTATACGAATGTGCGTTTTACTTTGAACAGAGAAAAAGGAAGATTCGTGTAGCGGATAAGCGAGTCAAGTGGCTTGCTTTGGGATCCCATGGGGCTTCTCCATCTTCAACGAGCCTCAGAGTTTCATCCAGTAGTTCTGCTAAACCTGAAATGGATATTCGGATTGGTCTTCTTGGTGCAAGTGGCTACACTGGTGCCGAGGTTTATGCAATGTCGACTCTCATTTCGAATTTCGCTTGTTTTGGTGATCTCTATGATTTCGAAATGAATCAGAGCTTTTAAGTGGTATGCATGTAGTTGCAAGTTTGTGGCTTTTTGGGTATTGGTCTCTTTATTTAGCTCAAGCAGTGAACATAGGCAAACTTTAGCTCATGAAATAAAAAAGGAATAAAGTAAGGGAATGCGGAGAGAATGAAATTTGGATGTGAGGGTTGATTGAAAATGCATGAGTAAGTAAGTTTTGATTTGGAATCCCTTTTTTATCGAATGGCATTTCGTGTCACTCTGATGACTGCTGATAGAAAAGCAGGCCAGTCAATGGGAAGCGTTTTCCCGCATCTGAGAGCTCAAGTATTAAGTGATTTTTTAAACCCTTAATCAAGTTCCAATCCTTTGAATAATACTTTGTCATCAGTGATTAACACTTCTTTTTTTTCCCACTGTCCTCAGAAACTTCCTAGTTTGATCTCCGTAAAAGATGCAGATTTTTTACAGTGGATGCTGTATTCTGCTGTTTACCTCACGGAACAACACAGGTTCATTTGCGTTTGATTCTTTCAGTTCAAATTTGTTTTATTTAAAGCATTTCCTAGCTTCACAGAGATGAGTGTGTGTGTGTGTGTGTGTATTTTGACAGGAAATCATCAAGGGACTTCCCACAGCATTAAAAATCGTTGATCTTTCAGCGGTAATCTCCAGAAGAAGTTATCTTCTTCCATTTTTTTTTGATGTGCTAACTTTTGGTTGATATGCTAATTTAAAAGTACTCTTCTCTCAGGACTTTCGATTGCGTGATGTCTCAGAATATGAAGAATGGTATGGTCAGCCACACAAGGCAGTAGAGTTACAGGTACTTTCCTCTCGAAAGCTATTTGCTTGATTTTTATGGGTCGCTGTTGTGTTCATGTTGCTTACACTTACGTATAGTGTCATGTTGGGTTTCAAAAAGAAGTTGTGTATGGTCTAACAGAGTTACTAAGGGAGGACATAAAAAAGGCGCGGCTTGTGGCTAACCCAGGCTGTTATCCAACTTCGATTCAACTTCCTCTTGTTCCTTTACTAAAGGTTTCTTTTTGTTGTTGTTTCTTTTTTGTGGGATTCGATTGTATCAGACTGTGTAGTCTTCAGTTCAACTCTACTCAGTGTTTTGATTTTGTTGCAGGCAAATCTCATCAAACATGAAAACATTATAATCGACGCAAAATCTGGTGTCAGTGGAGCAGGTTTGAGCTTACTTTTGCGGTCTTTATTCATGAACAATGATGCAGTAGAAGAATGTTTCTACGTTTACTGATATGAAATTTTCATCAGGACGTGGTGCAAAGGAGGCCAATCTTTGCTCTGAGATTGCTGAAGGCATTTCTTCTTATGGTGTCACACGGCATCGTCATGGTATGTCACACAAACTGATAGAGTGAAAATTTTGGTTCTGTGATGTTGAATTCAATATCTCTTTTTGTTTTGCAGTTCCTGAAATTGAACAAGGATTATCTGATGTTGCACAATCAAAAGTGACGGTCAGTTTTACGCCTCATCTTATGCCAATGGTACAAAACAATCTTAAACCTCTCTTCTCTATCGTTTTTGCCATTTTAAAATGATTAGTCGAAACCTTGTTGTATTGGGTAGATCCGTGGAATGCAATCGACTATATATGTGGAAATGGATGCTTGAATAGATTTAAATCTTGTCTCTTGATTATTGTTTTTTTCTGAGTTTAATTTATTCCCTTCAGTCTTGGAAGAATAATAATTTTCTCAGCTTAGTACGATTACCAAACTCATTATACTATTAAAAAATGAATTTCAGACGTGGAAAGTATGCGCACTCGTCACATGTTGTCGTGAATCACGAGATCTCAACGGGAAAAGAATCATTTCATTTCACGTGCTTTGTAATGTTCTTGGTTACTGTGAGAGCAAAACTCCTTTAACAACAAGAAGAGGGACAAGAGCTTTTGGACTTTGAAAATAGAAAAAGAAAAAGAGTAACATTCACCATGGAAGACGCAGAGGCAACAACAATTCACGAGCATCCTTTGTTAGCCTTTACTCGATTTGATTTGAGCCAGTGTAGCGGGTGTAGGTCTTTTGATTACATCTACGGAGGCTACCGTTGCAACGAGTTGGGGTGTGAGGCTGTGTTTCACAAAGAATGTGGCGAGCCTTTACCAGAAAGCAACCACTCTTCTCATCCCGACCATCCTCTCAAGCTCAAGATCCGAGCTTTCGGGCAATTGTAGTTTATGTAAAGCTGACTTCAGTGTCGGCTACTCATGTTCGATATGCTATTTCAGCTTGGATTTAGATTGTGCAAGGAGACCATCCCCACTTGCTGTTCTTGAAAAGTCTAATGCACACGAACATCCGCTTCAACTCTGCCAAGGAACCAAGTTTGATAGTGTCATGTCCACGAGAGAGTGCAAAGCGTGCGGCTTTCAAGTTTATCATAACCAAAAGTATATGTGTCTTGAGTGCAAATTGGTCTTCCATCTGGAATGTGTCACGTTTTTTCCTGATGCTCACCACACTTGTCACCCGGAACACCCACTCAAGTTCCCTACACGTGAAGCAGCACCTGATTACGCCGACAAGGAATGTCTTCTTTGCGGATTTGCCGTCATTGAGAAACGACTTCTTCACCACTGTGATGTTTGTAACTTCAGCATATGCAGAGGCTGCATGAGCAACCCACCACCGGTTTCTGTTGTAAGCCCCACGACCCACGAACATCAGCTTCACCTTGTTCCAAGACTCATTAGTTTCACTTGCAATGCTTGTGGGACGCTAGGTGACAGGAGCCCTTATTTCTGTCTTCCATGCAATTTCATGATTCATCCGGAATGTATCGATCTGCCACGCGTCATAAACATCAACCGCCACGACCACCGCATCTCTTACACCCGTCGCCTTGGACATGGAGAGTGGAAATGCGGAGTTTGTCGTAAGAAAGTGGATGGGTTCTACGGGGCTTATTCTTGCTCCAAGTGTCCTACTTATGTTGTTCATTCAAGATGCGCGACGAGAAAAGATGTTTGGGACATGGTCGAGCTGGAAGGAACACTCGAAGAGCCCGAGGAAACCGCACCATTCGAGGTGATTGATGAGAACACGATCAAACATTTCAGCCATGATCATAACTTACGAATCGACAAGGATGGCCAGATTCTACACGAGAGCATACTTTGTGAAGCATGCGCTTTCCAGATTTGTTCAGAACCATTCTACAGTTGCGAGCAGTGTGATTTTCGTCTCCACGGAAAATGTGCTAACCTCCCTCGCAAGAAACGGCATGTGTGCAACAACCTTCCTTACACGCTACAAACAAGTTACGACACAGCTTTGCCTTGTGAACTTTGTAAACGACGTTTCAACGGTTTCAAGTATGCAACTGCTAACCGCTATATGGGTATAGATGTACGATGCGGTTCAATTTCAGAACCATTTGTGCATGGAAGCCATCCACATCCTTTGTACTACTCTACAGATAACTCCAAGAGTTGTGGTGGATGTGGGCAAGACGGAAAGTTTAGCTGTGATGAGTGTGAGTTTAGTTTGGACTACAAGTGCGCTATGTTACCACAAAAGGTAACGAGGCATAGGTACGACGATCATCCTCTATCCTTGTCTTATGGTGAAAGCAGTGTTGACGGCGGCGAGTATTGGTGCGAAGCATGTGAAACAAAAGTGAACCCAAGTAAATGGTTCTACGCATGTAATGATTGTGGGGTGGTGTTGCATATTTCCTGCGTTGTGGGGGACTTCACGTATGTCATCCCAGGTCCGTGTCACGTATCGGGCACGCATCAAAAAGTTGTACCCAACACCTCTATTTGTAGAACACGTTGCGATGGCTGTAACATCAGATGCAAGCTCCCTTCCATTCTTAAGGGTTCCATGGCTGGAGCTGTTGCATACTTTTGCTCTTTATCATGTATTGACAACACACGTTAAAGATTACAAGTTTAGTTTGGACTATAATACCATTCTTTTAAGGGTTACAAGACTGGTGTTGTTGCATACAATCGTTCTTCAATACTGAAACATATATAAACCAACATTTAGTCATTTACTAACATTATGTTCTTCACAATCAAACGGTTACAAGAAATTTTCCCGGACAACAAAAAAATCTGCTGCTACAATTTACTCGTGAGAAGCAGCATCTGTATAAAAAGTTTAAGACCTTTCCTAAGACAAGATATATAAGTAAAAAAGTTGTCTCATCACTTTTAAAACCCCATTCCTGGAGGAGACCTGTCATGGTCTGAAAACGTTGTTGGTCAGGCCCTCCGCAACTTCTTGGGCCTCGGCTTGCTCCTACACGAGAGCAAGAGAGTTAGAACGACGAGAATACAAATTCCATGACTGTGATGATATATACAGTGTAAAAGGAACCAAACATACCTGGAGCCGGTGTATTAGATACATCAAGAAAAGATGAACAAAGATCTGCAAATTTCATAGAATGATGTTGGTTCGGGGTGAGGATGTGAGGCAGAGTAAAATTTGAAGAGTGTAAGTAAGTGAGAGAGTCTCACAAGGTAAAAAAGTAGGAATATCCGAGCTATCGGGTACCGCCAAAGGAACCTCGTTGCCCTTACAGCTCCTGAGTCTAACAGCTTCACTGCATTTTGCAACTGAAGACACAACAAAGTAAACATAAAGAGTAAAAAGTTCAATGCGAACCAAGAGATTTCTAAATGTACTCCAAAGTCTTTACCTGTGTGCTTGCTGTAGCCATGTGTCGATGATACAATGGAAGAGGCCTGAAAATTGATTTTTTTTTCTTATGAGTATCAAAGAACAAACTTAACATATTATATATCTCAGCATCATCTTGTATATTAGAAAAGTGTCTTTTTAGCATATACATTGCTAAACACGTACTCGAGTGTTTTGATCTCAGATTCTTCTTCCCAAGTTGCTGATGGGCGTCGCGATACTCTGCTTTTTTCTACCTCTACCTAAATCATGCAAGTTTCAGAGCCTTTCTTGAAAATACCATAGAGATGTCAAAGAACGTTTATGGACCGTAGAGAGAGCTATGACATCAAACCTGTGCTTCGTGTAGACGTTTGACCTCTTTCTCCAACTGAAACTCTGCTGCAGCCTTCTCACTTGCCATAGTCTCTAGTTGCGTTTGCTTATAGTACTGCATTAAACCCCGTCGCCATTAGCACTATCAGACAACTTCCCAATATGAATTTTACTTCTACGTATAGAGGAGTTCAGTTTACCAGTAAATCTGTTAATTCACGGTAGCGTTTCTCCAGCTCCGTATGCTCCTACTAGGTCAGGGGTATAACGATTAAGCTCATGTTATATTATCATATGCATCAAAGGTACCACTTGACAAGCAGGAGCAAAATAAATCAGTTAAGTAGAGCAACGGGTTATATTTACAAGGGTTTTCAAGGGTTTGAAAATCATATGCATCAAAGGTATAACACTTCTGTTTCGAACCATATAATGAAATCCGTTATATTTACAAGACTATGTTAACAAGTAGAGCAACGGGTCTTTCACACAAAAGATTCAAAAGAGGGCCATTGGAATTTATTGCACTCAGTGAAATGAAAACGCCAAGGGGATAACAGAGAACTATCAGGTCTTCCTGAGCCATTTGATAGGAATTGAAGAGTAACTAAGACATTCCATAAGCATAGAGTAGGAGAAACAAACATTAACAATTGTTAATGCATTTGACAAGAAGAGACCACCGACTCTCCGAAAAGATGGATCTCACCTGGCGTGAGTAATGTTCTGCATCCCTTTTCATGGCTGCCATTTCAACCCTCACCTTTTGCATTTCAGCCTATAACAAACAAACGTGTTATGTGTAAATATAATGCTACTCGGATATACACATCACGTCATAATGAATTCCGAGGTTAGTAACATACCTCCATTGAAGAAAGTTTCTCCTCCGCGTCTCTTTGACCTTGCCGAGCACGGTCCACTTCGTCCTGCCATGCTTGGATCTGCATAATTAAAAGTAACTTCTCTGGAGTAGCCAAAATCTGAACTTTGAAAAGCTGATAAAAGTTGTTTCAAGGGTTTGAAAATACTTCTCACTTTAAGAATTTGAGTTCGATAACGTCCTTTTTGTGTGAAATTATACACCATAAAAATCCACTAGAAGATTTAAACTCAGATACATGAGTTATCTATCACTTATCAGAGTTACCAAGGGATCATAAAAACTTTTTGCATATCTGTCTATCTTTTCTACTTCTAACAGAAAATTTGCATGTGAGCTAGGAACTCATTAGTCATTATTGAAGTTAACTTCCACAACGTACATCCTGCTAACCTAATCTGACATACCTGGATCACTTGGTTTGCTTCATCCGGGGTCTTCTTTTGTCCTCTGCGAGCACGAACTTCCATTTCTTGCAGCTCTTGATTCAGAGATGTACATTCGACCTGAGTATCATTTGCCAATTCTTCTGATGAAATTCAAATATATGATGATTGTGGAACCAAGCGTTTTTAAGATAAATTTACCTACCTCAAGCAATGCCACCTTCTGTTCAAGTTCTGCCACTTTCGTTGTCCTTTCATCAGCAATTCTCTAAAAAAACCAGGCATTTAAAAGTCAGATCAAAGTAGTTTTTGGGAGACAAAATTTCCAGATAGAATCTTTAATTTGTTCGCGAATATGTAGCATATGAAAATACAAAGGTTTCCCAACTTTCCTTGCTGAAGAAATAAGAAACACAATGTAAGAAGCGAAAGCCAAAACTCAGCAACTAACAGCATTTTAAGTTGGATGGCCCACTTGAAATGTAAGACAGTGATAGTAGCTTTAAATTCAAGGGTCGTCTCACCTGAATTCTAACAAGTGCTGTGGAAGCATCCACAGCCCTGTGCTCTAGTTCCCTTTCCCTTTCCATGGCAGCCTGTCTTAGAAAGAGAAATTTAAGTAAACAAAATTTGATATCTTATTTTCATTATTAAATGTTTCTGCATCGTTCAGGCAACAAACCATTTTTGTGGCACTATGTGCAGATCGCTCCTCTTCGGCTCTCCTTTCAGTAGTTGCCAGCTCCTCCCGCAATGCCTGGGATAAGAAAATATCAATTCAATAGTCTGAGGACCTTATATGTTCATAATCATATGTAGCAAGCAACAATTTACTGGAAGAGATTAATGAAAAAAAATATAGTAATACCTGCATCATCCTAGTCTCAGCCAATTCTCTGTTTCTCATAATAGACTCCATGTCTGCCTGATGAAAGTAAACGATTTTACTTAAAGGTGGTTGGGTGAAAAAGAAAATGGCAACTGAAGAGACCATTAAAGACTCAAGGTATGCTATAATAGAAAGCACACAAAAGAAAATCTGAGCAACCTGAAGAGACGACAGTTTCCCTTCGTTCAGAGCAGCCTGATTTTTCAGGGCATCCATTGCGCTGACAAGTGCTTCTATTTCTGAATTCTTAGCTGCCAGTGCCTCAACCATGCTTGACTCTACTTTCGTCACTTCACTTTTAGAAGCTGACAAATCTTTTTGCAACTGTCTAATGCTAGCTTCATATGACTTGGTAAGCTCTTGCTATCACAGTAAAAATGAAAAATAAAATTAGGCGCACTGACCACCTTCAAGTATCACTTCTACTGGTCAAAAGAAACTGAAACTGTCGAAGTTTACCTCTGCAGTGAGAAGCTCTTCCAACTGTGCATTTTCTGCCTTAATTTCTTGAAGACGGGATGAAAGTCCAGCACAAACCTAGAAGCAAATGAAGACAAATAAGCATACAACTAAAACTGGTCATGTCCAACCACTGGCATGGATAAATCCTATCCGACAGGCAAACAGGTGTTTTTATCACCCATTTGATGCAGGAAAGCAGAATAGGATATTTGAGCTTACCCTTGCTAACCTGGCTTCTTTTGACTGCCCAGTGGAAACTGTAGCTTTTAACAACCCCTGAGCCTAGAATTAGAAGAAAGATTGATCAACAGACTTTTAAGAAGACAACATACACGCAGATTCAAGTAGCAGACATATAGCATATGCTATTTTTTCTTCATCTTTCCGAGATTAACTAACCTCTTCAAGTTGATCTTGAATCTTAATGGAGGTCGTATCAGCTCTACGATCCTGCGCTTTCTCAAGATTGGTTGAGGTGTCAACAATTCTCTGTTCCTGATCTTTATCCATATTGATTGAGGTGCCAACTTTCGCATCATTGCCGGTGTTTTTAATCACATTCCCTTCGTCTACAGGAGAAGCGTGCACTGCAGATTCCAGTTTATCCAGGTCTTTTGTTGAAGAATCTTCCAACTCTCCTTGTGTACCTTTTACAGGAGCATCAACCAGGTTGTCACTGGCAACGACCTCAATTTCTTTTTCGGGTAACGATGGTGATAGTTGCACCAAAAAGTCATTTGGAACATCTCCATCAGCATGCTTGCCACTTGGAGTTAACTCAGCAGTATCACCGTCCACAACAGATTCTGGAGGTACCACAGCAGCATCGTCACTTTTTGTATCTGCCACTGATTGTAGAAGTGATTGAGCACTCTGGACATGTGCATCAGTCTGTTGAATCTCCCTTTTCTGCGAGACAGGCGCTGATGAAGAGGCCTCGACAGTGGAAACAGAATTTTGAGATGAAGGCACCTCTGACTGTGGTACTGCTGGGCCCGATTGTTCACTAGACAAGTGTCTTTTGTTAGAAGATCCTTCCTTTACAAGTTTCTGTCGAGCCTACAAATGCATTCCACAACCAAAGAAGTTCATCTTGAGTCCAGATATACCAAACAAAAAGAAAGAGTTAAAGATAAGAGAAGCACGGTAAATACCTTTTTCTTTGAACTTGATCTCTTCCCTTGAGACCTATTAGAAGCTTTAGCCACCATAAAGCAAAGGAAAACATAATATAAGAAACAGATACATGACTAATAAAGATCCGTTTCAGGTTGTCAAAGCTTTGCTTAGACTTAACTTTAAGCCAATGCCAATGTTTCTCAAATAGTCAAGAGTAAATCTCGTAGAAAAATTATGATGATCAGGTGTTATCCAATTTACTGAAGTTAATCACTTTATTCCATGACTGGCATTCAAATTGTAATCACAGATCAACGGGAACCCAAAGATGAGTTATTTTCGAAAGAATCAGAGTGATCTCCACAGTACCTGGCAACTGCAAATCGGACTGTTCTTCCGAGAGATCTTCAACCACAGACTTTGCCCTGCGATCCACAACCTCGAATAAATCTGAAGGAAAAAAAAAATCACAATAACGAAACCTTCAAAATTGGTATCCCAAAACTTTGTATGTTCCATATATGCTATCTCTCTGCATTTCTTCATCCACGCAGATTACTAAAAACAAATTCTGAACGAGGGCAGAGAAGGACAGAAATTACCTTCGGCAGCTTTGAGCCAAGACGCCATTGATGATCAAAACAGAAAGTAACTCCCCGCTAGTCACGGCGGATCGGCAGAGGAGCTTCCATGCACCACCGGCTCGGTTCACGGAAAATCAGGTTAAAATCAAGAGTTGCTTCTTTGGCGAAGAATCACCACCAGTGTTTACGGATTCGAGTCTGATCTCTGTAACAGAGCTTGTCAAAAGGAGACAGAAAGGGGACGAAGGAGTTCTTCAGAGGTTTCAACCAGAATTAGCATACGGGCGAAGAACTCAGATCGTTGATCATGTGGTGCTACGTCCACCAGATTTACAGTGGTCTAGCTCATCGTGGCCGTCCAAATGGAATTATGAGATTTCTATTTCTTAGAGGGCCTTGGTGGTGTATTGGACTTAGGATTTTGGTGGACTTATATTTCGTGGGCTTTTATTGAATTTCAAAGACATTTTAATGATTTTTTTTATAAGTTTCTGAAAACAATAGAAATAAATTACATATGGGCGGCAAGATCAATCTTATGTTTGTGCTTTGATAAAGTGATGTTCATTTCCGACTGCAACGATTTGGTGTTGGGTTGGACCTATTAAGATAACTGATTTGGGTCTCTTCAAGAATCATTGTCCCAAGCGTATCAGAGTTTGAGATACTATCATAATGTAATAACAAAAAAATGATAAAAATGTCACCTAAAGTAGTGTAATGACTTGATAGCGAGACAAATTGGGGCATTCAAAATAGAATTTAGAGTGATTTATATTAAAATTACAAATCTTCTTTTATTAAGATATAAATTTTAAAAAGTTGTATACAATTCAGTGTTATTGAACTCATGATTTGAAAATAAATTTTTAAATTCATTGCTATTAGAAATAATTCAAGTAATTTAGTTTTATAAAAATTAGAGTAATTTTAAAATATTTTGGTGGAATTTTCTAGTTAAAAAAATATAAAAATCTAAATCTCATTGTTTTAGATAAAGTTTGATAGAATTTTGATATCAAATTGTAACGATTTTCATAATTCAAACTAAATTATCTAAAAATTCATTAAAACGCAAATCTTTCTAAATTATTTCAAATATTAAGCTGAATATATCTTCCCCTCCCCCCCCCCCCCCCCCCCCCCCCATTTGTAGTCTAACCTTTCTTTCTTGATTTACAATCCATTGAACAACTACAAAGGAAACTAACTCCTAATTTAATTATCAAAAAACACTGAAAAATCATTTATAATGAAAAAAAAGGTTTAAAACAATCACATTTTTATTCAACAATTTACACCCACATTCTATCACATTTGATTCTGAATTTCTGAATGTTGATACAACATATACAAACCAGTAGATCATAAACTCTGGTCGCATATATGATCACAAAATGGATCATTAACTAACTTAGTATAATATCTTACCATTTTTCTTAAAAAAGAAACCATTCAATTTCAACAAAAATCATCAATAAGGACGCGTGTTGGCATCACCAACAGGCATAGGATAATAATCACATACAATCCAAATCAGCTCATTATCATGACACCTGAACGAGCCACAACCGAGACTGGACGATTGATTGGCCACCATCTGAGTGTAGTGCCCGCAAACATCTTTGCACTTGTTGGTGGCATGATCGTAGTTTGGCTTCTCCGTCAACCAGAACTTAGCCGCGATCGGACCGCTCATTTGGTCCTTAGGCTGGACCCAACCCGCGGCTATGTTTTCTCCGTATGGTCCACCAGAATGTCTCATGTCGCTGAACTGGCAGATTCCAGCTCTGGCTTGTTTGTTTGCGTACCTCTGTGCATAGGCCGCAACGGTTTCGTTCCACACCAGTGGAGCCACCCCGACCGCAGCTCGAATCTGGTTGTGAACCGCTAGGGTTTTCTTTGGCTGGACATCATCGATTGGCTTCACCTTACGTAGACCATAGGCTTGAGTTAGAAAGAGACAGAACAATGTTAGTACTACGACGACGAAGCTTCTACCATAAGACGACATTATTATTTTTGTGTTTTGGTTTTGTAAATTGTTTTGGAACTTATGGGGTTATGTGTTCGGTGTTACTCCTTTTGTAAGCCTCAGAAAAAAAAAACAAAAAATCTAACTTCTAACAGAAAAGGTTGCTTTGGTGGGGATACGAGCGAATTTGGAAGGTTTGTTTTTCTATTAAATTATTAATTAGTAAAAATCATATAGTAAATTTACTAATTTAGGAATCCCTTAAAATAACAGTTATGATCTTAGGATAAAATTATGATTTTAGCGTAAAATCTTCAATATCAGAATGAAAAAAAAAATTAGTAAAAGCTATCCTAGATTTGAAAATTTGACAGAACAAAATTACAAGAGTATATATGAATTTATGTGACTTTATTATATTTATATATATATATATATTTAAGAAACAAAGGTTTTAGATTATTATTTTTTTTTGTTAAAGGTAGTAATCAACCTTAAGACTTGGTATTACGTGATCCACCTAAAATAAATTACACATAGTGTTACAAGAATTTTCTAAAGTAAAATATATATTGTATGTTTGATTTTTACTCAAGTTTTGGTGAAGATTTTAGCCCAAAAAGTTTAAATATAAATATCAAAAGATCACAGGCTATAATTAATATACATACGCCACACATTTAAGAATTTATTAACATCCAAATATATATCCATTCCGGTCGAAGGATAACAATCTGATAAGTTATAAACTTATGTATGAAAGAGTCCAAAAACAACTTTAGAATTTAGCAGATGCTAGGAAAAAAAATTTCTAAAAAGATCGAAGACGATCTTACGATTTGTTGTAAATGTTTTATTGACGCCGTTCCCTTTCGAATCCTTAAATTACGGGTAATTAACAACATAAGTCAGAATCATTGACGTCACACACGATCGTTAATCACACCGAAAGTCGAGTTTGATTGGTTGTAAAAAAATAAGTCTTGTAAGTTACGTAAAAACTATATAGTCCTCGTGATATAATGATGTTTGTTTGATCGAAGCTCGTTATATAATAATAATTCACGTGAACGTTACTCACAACACCCGTGATTTGTTCTTAGCTTCATTTTCGGGAGTGATTGTTGACTTGAATATCCCCAGGGAAAAATTGAAATCCTTCCGAAAGAATATATTTATGATAAATTTGATGCAAAACAAATTACTAACTAATAAAAAAAAAGAGAAAAAAACAAAACAAATTACAAACTCAATATGGAACTATCACAGCCGTCTATTTTATTTGAAATTGTTTTTTTAGGACAAAACATGTGGTAATGCGACAACAATTTGGATTGAAATGTGCATTATTGTTGGTAAAAGTAAAAAAACTATTACAGCTAGAACTTAATAATCTATAAAAGAATTGGTGTAAGCGTTTAATACATATACGTTGGAATGATTTTGCACCAAGATGACACGTGAATCGAATGTCATATAAATACATTTTTATTCACATTTTTGAATACTCAAATACGCTCTCCAAGATGTGAATGCAATAAGTGATACACTAAATTATAATAAATGGTCTTATATATAATGGCATCTATTGTAACACACTGTTATATATTTTAATTAAAACCACACAAAACCATACTATTTTTCATTCGTTAAAAGCAAATAAAAAGATTAATACGGACGGGTATTCGCATCACCCATCGGCCTAGGAGCATAGTTACATACGACCCAAACATACTCATTATTATTACACCGGACCGTACCACAACCGAGTCGTTGGGACTGATTAGCCACAATCTGAGTGTAATGCCCACACACATCACTACATCTGTTGGTCTGATAGTTGTAATTAGGCTTCTCCGTATACCAATACTTAGTCGCGATCGGACCGCTCATTGTGTCGATAGGTTGGACCCACCCGGCGGCTATGTTCTCGCCGTACATTCCGTCGGTGGAATGTTGCATGGCGCAGTCTTTGGATCGTACGTTGGCGTAGCTCTGTGCATGGGCAGCAAGTTTATCGTCCCACACCAATGGAGCCACCCCAACCTCGGCTCGAATCTCGTTGTGAACCGCCAGAGTTTCTTCCGGTTGAAGATCGTCCATCGGGTTTACTTTTCCCAAACCATAGATTTGAGTTATGACGATGGAGAATAACGCTAGTGCGACGAAGCTATAACCAGAAAACGACATTCTTCTTCTTCTTCTTGCTTTGGATCTCTGTTCTGAATTTTTTTTGTTTCCCCTTCTTTTGTAAGCGTCAAGACGCAAGCCCTCCGTGACTATTTTCGGGATGTCAATATCCACCGTTAACAAAATTGGAAGTTGTTCTTCTATATGGTCGCTTTTAGAATGAGATTCTAATTTTAGAGTAACAAAATATATTTGTCATTAAAGATACCCTAGATTTGAATATCTGATAAGTATTAACAGAAGAAAATCCAGAATGTTAATGCATTTGTTAGTCTAGTGTGTGGTTGACCAAATGATTAATATGTTTACAGGTTATATATTGCTGGAAGTTTGAGAGTGCGTGTGCATGCATATATATAGGAAAGGTCCGTTCATTGTGGACTGTTAAAATATTTTTTGTTTCGTTCATTTCGTTGATAACGACGACTGTTAAAATGTTTCAAAATGTACGTGATTATGCCTATATCAAAGACATATTATAGTTTCTAAACTCTTACAATGTTAATTAGAAGGCTAATTGTATGATCATCTGCTAATTTGTTTTTCCTCTACAAATCTCTGTCACATACAGTATTAAGCTACGTATCATTTATCTGTCTAAACTGTAATCCACGTGACGTGATGTTTTAATCCTCGTGAGATTTATTCAACACCCGTGATTTCTTCTACGTATACCTAATTTTTTTAGGATTATGAGATATCAGCTTGTAATTAATGGGAGTGCTGAGTTGCACTACAACCTTATAATAATTAGGATCTGATTGGTATGTCAGATTAATAATACAATAGCAGAATAACTAAAAAATTATTAGTGTAATGAACTGAACTGGATAATATTTCAGCTGAATAATTGTGAAACACTAAAAAGATACTTTTAATAGATTAATCACATTTTGTTTTGTCTAGTTATATTTTTAACACACTAACAGAATCACGTTTCAAAAACATAAAAAAACGTGAAAACATAATAAAAAAACATGAATAGTAAAAAATAACATAATCAAGTTTTCAAAACGTAAAAATGTGAAAAAACTACACATCATATATTTTTGGTAGTCAAATGTTCTAGTAATTAATTGGATTTATTTGGAGTTTCACATGTGCGTTTAGATAGTAAAATCAAAACAATACAGCAAAACCGATCCCCATAACAACCTTTAAAAATCCTGTTTGATCGATTTAAACAACTCACAAGATGCATACTTTTTTTTTTTTTGATAAACCCTATCGACTGATTCTGTCGGTCCTACCGAAATGCTAGAGAGATGCATACTTCTCACTTGAAATAGCTCCATTAATTAGTAGAAACTCCACGTCCGTGAGATTTTGCATGGCCCGTGGTTGAGAATAAATGCAAGGAAATGATATTTTCACCCACAAAAATAAAAATATTCTCTTAGAATTTCGAAGAAGGTGATCGATGGTCCATTCTAGCTCTTTAATTAGGAGGGTCCTTTTAAATTAGTTATCAATTCAAAAATCATTAATAAGGACGTTGACCGATATAATTCCCCGGAGGATCATAGCTACAAATCACCCAAACATACTCATCATTCTTACACCTCACTGAGCCACAACCGAGCCGGACCGAGTCACGCCACACGATCTGAGTGTAGTGTCCACACAGACCATCACCACCACACGTGTCAGTGTCATAATCGTAGTTCTCCTTCTCCGTCATCCAATACTCAGTCGCGACCGGACCGCTCATCGTTCCCCAACCAGCGGCTAGATTCTCACCGTAAGTCCCCGAGGAATGCTTCATGGCGCAGTCTCTGGCTCGTTCGTGTGCGTAGCTCTGTGCGTAGGTCGCTAGAGTTTCGTTCCACACCATTGGACCGACTCCGACCAAGGCTCTGGCCTTGTTGTGAACCGCGAGTGTTTCTTGCGGTTTGACATCGGCGTTTGCGTCAATGTTTGGCGGTTGAGCGGGAGTGTGACGGTAGCCTTGAGTTAATATGGATAATAATGCGACTACGGTGAAACTATACCCGAAAAGCAACATGTTCTTCATTTTGTTTTTGTTTGTTGTGTGATTGTTTTGGAACTTATCGTTTTGTGGAAGAATATATTTTCTTGGCTAATGTATTTATAGAAGTTGCTTTGGTTTGGTACGGAGAAAGATTTGAAGTTGCTTTGGTTTTCTACTGTTTTATATTAAAAAAACGTCCAAAACCAACTTTAGGATTTAACATATAAAAAGAAGTTCTCAAAATTGTAGGCAGACAAATACTATTTGTTGTAAATATTTACTCGTAGCGTTCCTTCAACCACAAGTTCGTTAATCAAACCGAAAGTCGAGTTTTGTTTGGTCGGAAGAGAATAATAGTGTAATAAGAAAATTATTATGTATATATAAGTCTTACAAGTTACGTATAGTCCTAATTGTGATACTGTATTATATAATTTTATTCAACACCCGTGATTTGTTCTCTCAGCTTCATTTTTGGAGAGTAATTGCTGACTTCTTTTTTTTAACCTTTTTTACTTTTTAGTATTGGATGATAAAAAGTTCGTTGATTTCTTAGTTTAATGTGCCCCTTGCTTAAAGAAAAACATATGTATTTTTGTGTTACAGTCGTGATTTTTCTTGCTATTTATATATGACCGTGAACTAACTATTTAAGCACGCTAATCCATCTTCAAACTAAACCCATTTTCTCTAATGGTTCATCAAAAATATGGATAATTTACCAATATGAAAAAACAGTTTTTAATAATACTTGTTAGGCCATAGATCATCCCGTTGAACATGATTTACTCAATTCAGTGCAAACTTCTTAACTGTTTCTCGTTATCTTTTTATTTATATATCGAAATAGAAAACATCGAAATCATCAGAAAAAAATAAAGAATTTGGCGCAAAAACGAGTTCGCATGGCTATAGCAATTTGCCAATTTGCGTGGCAAGTCAACAATTCTTCTTGTGTTTCAATTTGACCTAAACGCTCATAAGTTCATAACCAAAATCAAAACTAATCACATGATTATGTAGCTAATCCATGGCTTTATCCTAGCTTTATAATATACAACTTCACTAGGAATGTAATTAGAACCAGTAAACTATATTATAGGTCAGCAGAAAATTAAAATTCACAAAAAGATACCATCATTTAAACTGAAGCGGAAGGAATGACATATTACTTTATAAAAAAAAAACAATAAAAAGAGTTATAATATTATGAAATCTCTAAATAAATTTCTATATTGCAACAAGTAATTATGGACAAGATACAGATTAACTCATGATAATACATACTCATGTGGTAAGCTCTCGTGGCTGTGTTACGGGTTTGGTACCAAAACTACAAAATCATAGTAAGATTTAAAACCCAAACTAGTTCCCTAAAAGAGGCAAGGCTTTGCACAAATCCACCATACATTTGCTTCTTCCTCCATGGTTCTCCGAGAGTAGCAACAGTTTCATTCTATGGGCTCTCGTCGATCTCATCTGGAACATGCAACTTCTCCATTGCAGCCTGTTTCAGACAATACTAACCAGTTTAATAGCAGTAGATTAAACCATCAGAGGGATGATGACTCTGCTAAGAGGCTCGAACCTTTATTGCAGCAACATCAGTTGCAGGCGGCTTCATATCCAAAGCTAGACCGAAATGAAGCATGGCTTTGTCGTGCATGTTTCTCCGCTTATAGATCCTCCCCATTAAAGCGTATACGCTGCTCTCTGAAGGCGCATACTCTTTTAGCTCCTCTAGAACCTCTAGAGCTTCGTCTAATCTTTCTAAGCAGACAAGTATGTTGGCCTTCTGGTACATTGGAAGAGGATTCTTCCTGTCTGCTAATATAGCTTGCTCCATTATCTCTATCGCTTCCTCGCTTCTCTGTCAACACACAAGAAAGAGAAGAGTTTAGTCACTCTTCGAACTATTGCTTTAAAAATCCAATCAAATGAGAGTAGTAATATATTAAACCTTCAAGGCATGCAAAGCTGTCCCTAGATAAGACATTATAACAGAGGAGCTCGGATTTATTAGGAAAGCCATTCTGAAGTGATGCTCTGAGAACTCTAGCTTCTCTTGGCGTAGATAGATCATTCCAAGCCCATACCACGCGTTATAGTGTCTTGTATCTACACGAAGTGCGTTTTGGTAACTTTTCATTCCGTTCTCAAAATCTTCCAGAGTTGCGTATCTACAGAGAAGGTAAAGAGAGACTGTTGCTTATAGACCAACAACCAGAAAGTTTCAAGCACATTGCAATCAGACAGAGTCAAATGGATCTTACTCATGACCACATAAGGTATGTGCATATGCAAATCTTGGATTCAGTTGAACAGCTCGTAGGAAATTCTTCAGTGCAGTCTCATGGTCTTTTTGCAAGCTATAGCAATTTCCCATAGCACACCTGCATAATTGAATCGATGATCGTTATTAGAGGATCATCGATTACCAAGATTGAGGAGCTAACAACAAATGAAATCGTTAATCAGAAAGCGACATTTGACAAAGAAAAATTACCAAGATTGAGGAGCTAAACGATCTGTTGATATTAGCTCTTGAGCCAAGTAACTGAGCTTCATATCTTCCTTCAAATGCTACAAAAATATCATTTTTTGATGAAAAAAAAAACACTACATGAGATTTCTTTGTGGAAATTACCAACCTTTCATGAGCGTAGAAGGAAAATTGTCAAGAGTTTCATCACACTCAGAGGAGATTCTATGACTGAAACAAGGAAAACAGACTTACGTAGAGGACCGTAGAGTATATATCCATTCCTTCTAAGCTATAAGGAGAAGCCTGGCGGGCAAGACGGAATGCTTTTTCAGCTTCTAAATAGTCTATTAATTCAAAGTATGCTTTCCCGACCTGCATTAATAGCCATCAAAATGCCTTTTAACGATGAATCTCACAGGTTGGTCGTTTTATAAAGTCTATACACAACCACAAAACTGAACAAGATGGTTCCTATAACTATTTTCCAAATATGACAGAGAAAAGAGTCACTTATGTTACCTGGGAAAGAACCCATCCTGTATTATAATGCTTATGTGGAAGTTTGATATACGTATCCAGTGCCTCCTAGACCACCCATAAGCACAATAAAGTCAATGAAATCATTCTATATAAGTGCACATCACCTTTGTATTGTTTAAGAAAGCAACAATATGCTTACCTGACACCTGTACATGTACGAAAGTCTACACCCTTCCCCGAGTATCCTTAGAAGGCTTAATATCTCTGAAACACCAATTGTGATTTTCTGTGCACTTAACGTTGTGCCACCCATCGACATTGTTTCGTCTTCTTGATCAATAGAAGCCATAGAAGCAGTCGTTGAGGCAGTATTAGGCCTTGAATCATCAAAATGTTCCCCACGAACTCCTAAACCAATCAGAATGACAACGCTTTTGGTATTACATATACGCAAACAAGAAAAAGAGGGACGCTTAACAAAAAATCACAGCAGAGCAGATCTCAAACAAATAGTGATATCTTTCTTGGAATTTCATAACCTTCATCTATGTTTTCATTTGCCCAAGAATGTCCCTTCCGAAGTGTTACAGAACGAAGTGCCAAAGAACTCAATTTAGAACCCCCCAAATACTTGGAAGTGTTGTTCCCATTTCCGCTTACTGTTGCAACACTTGCATTAGTGTTTGCCCCTGAATCAGCAGACAGTCTCGAACTCCGTCGTGGACCAGAATCAGAAAACAGCCTGCCAGAAATCTGCAGAGGAAAGAAACCTTCACTCATCAGTAAGACAAAATTCAGCACAAGAAAGAATCAGAATATTACAGAGAAAAGTAAACACAAATTATTTCAGAATTGTGTCTTTACGGCAACAAGAAGACCACTACAGATATGTGAATACTACCTTACGTAGCTTTCCTTCGTCTACAAATTTTCTTCTGGGTGCTTGTATAGTAGAGTTTACTGTGGACTTTGGCGAATTGTCAGTACTAAGGGATGGAACAGCCGGCTGAAAATTCCGGAAAAGTGGTGGTGGAGCCATACCGGATAGCTACAATTTGACAAATATAAAAATCATTTTAAATCTCATTCACAGCTGCTCTTTAAGCACATACACATTGCACAATATACCATGACCAAAACAATGCTTCTTAAGTTGAAACATAACATGCTTCCGACAAACCAAAGACACTAAAATAGACTCAGGACTAATAGTCAATAAGACGATTAGTCAACCCATCTTTGGCACCGAAGATATAAAATAAGCGATGCAAGCTGATGTCGATTAAGGAAAGCTAGACAGAAATCACAAAGGGAGAAAATTTAGAGATTTGAAATTGAGTGATTGATGAAGTTTCCATTTATTTGATATATTCTTCTTCTTAAATAAGTCTCGTGAGAGACAGAAGGCAAGCAAGGTTTAGCTTCTTAGTTTTGATTTGTCTGAGGGGCAACTGCAAGAGATAAATGATCTTATGCGGGAATCTGCAATTCATTAGTTCTTAATAAAACTATTGTTTTTCTTTCTTTCGGTTCTCTACTCTATCACAAGCACTGTAAAACCCATGATGCATTGATCTCCCAAGTACTCAAAGAAAATGTGATCAACAGATAGAGACATAGTTGTTCATAATAAAAGAGTTGCGACATTACCTGTGCAGCCACTGGCGAAGGAGTATTATAGAATGTCATGTTCGAAACAGCTCCGTTACCATGAGAATGGAAATTTCCAGAGATATCTTTAAGGCCATGGCCTTGTGTGTGTTTGGACTGCCTTGGACTATAATCTTCGGTGCTCGTGTTTTTGGTAGAAGTCAAGTTACGTTCCTCATTGTACGTGTTTAAGCCGAGGGAGGTTGACAGATGTTGCATGTACTGCTTTTGGATGGAGAGAGCAGCTGTTTCACCAAAAACTGCAGTTGCTTCCTCTGCAGCACCTGAAAAAGTAGGACGGACAGAAAAATGTAAGAGAACCATTACAAACGTACCAAAAGTATGCATAAAAGGTATTCTGTTCACCTAGTATACATAATTCCTCATATGCGGCCCAGAGTAGAGGATCTATTATCAAAGACTGCTTAAATTGCTGAGCGGCGTTCTTCCTTCTGTCAGTATACCTGAAAGGTCACTATCTTAAATGAGAACTCATCTCGTCGAAAACATTTAGAATCAACAGACAAAAAAGACATAGAGGGAACAAGAAACGAACTTGTAAATAAGTCCAAGAAGGTAATGACCTGCTGCTCCATTTGGGATCTGCAGAATAACCAGAAAGCTATGTTAGTATCTTCTTGAGTGAGCTCAATCAACACAAAAGGCCCAGATACACTGACACACTGAGATTGTAAGAAGACACTCAGTGAGAGAGCGAATAAAGGCAATCTACCAGAGATGATTAAGTACCTCCGCACCAGGTTCATTAACAAGGCAGAGTGCAGACTCAGCTTCATTGAGAAGGTCCATCTGGAAGCATGATAAGGCGAACAAGTATCGAGACTGAGCCATTTGTGTTCCTTTACGTTCCATCAAACACACAATAAAAAAAAAATCACAGATATAAGCAACATGACCAAACAAAAGAGGGCGCAAGAATTCTAACTATAGACAAATTTGGCAAAAAAGGCTAACAAGCAACAAGAAGAGAAAGCAAGCCACACACCCTTTAACAGATGATATGCACTGTAAGCTTGATTATTCTGCAGGTAGCTGGTGGCTAATAGCTGCAAATTAACCTATATAAAAGGAAAAACAGAAAGTGATTATACAAGAAGGCCTCAAAGGCTAGTCTTTTATTGACATACTTTCTCTTAACAATTGGAAAACTGCTACAAATGTTGGAACTGGGTCAGGCCAAATGCTAAAGGAACTATTTACTGTTATTGAAGCTGTATCAACATCCCACATTTCCTCAGAAAAAAGTTGAACTCATAGCTAAGGTCCAAGGACAACAAAAAAACTTAAAACTGGACCAGTAACCAAAAGACATGATAGATGGAAAGAAAAATTCAAAATTTTGGGGAAATCTAAAGCAACCCTCGTTCAGCAAATTTTTCAAAAATAGTAGTGAGGAAAGGCTACTGGAGAAAACAAATTCGAAGGAACAAAAAACAAACAACGAAACTCATCTCCTAATTGACCAAAGAAACAACATATAGATCTTGAAGCAAAGGGATAAAAGGTAAGATACCAAATTCGATCTCGAAGAAGTCAAGGAGGCGATTGAATTCCACATCCAAAAGTAGAAAAATTGATGCACATACAAAAGTTTCTTGAGATACCCAGATGCAATAAACTAAAATCTATATACTTCGCAATCCAAAAAGCTTCGATTTACAGAATTCATAAGAAGATACAAATAAGAGTGTGAAACAAGAGCTACCTCCGAAGGAAACTCGGCGCAGAGACGCTCGCACATGAAAATGGCATTCTTGTACACAAAATGACGAAGACTGTTCTGTACACAGTCCACAAGCATAGCTTCCATGGTTGCCTTCCTCGAGAGAGAGAGAGAGAGAGAAAGAGGGTTTTCTGTTTTTCTGGATTTCTTTTGAGTTTTTTTTTTTACCCTTTGTGATTTTTTTGAAAGACGTAATTTCAAATTTTGAGGCGGCACGTGCGTTGCTCTGTTTTCAAACTATTCGGCACGTGATAGACCATTATTGGGCTTTTATAGCCCCAGGCCCTGTGTTTTCAGTTTTGGGGTTTAGCCGATTATTGGGCTTTTACAGTTGGCCCATCTAGTTTTGTTTCCTCGTACATGTTTGCGAGCAACACAAAGTAAAACTGTTTGCGGGTTTTTGATGATGTTAAGATGCAGATTTGGTCTACCAAGACTAGTGTTTTTGCCTCCTCCTAATCAAAATTTGATTTGTTTACATATTTACATCATGTAACCATGTCCAACACTACAAGTAAAATTTTGAACAAAACTTCAAACCATCGCTACAGAGATTATATCATATATAACAATAACTTTCTACTAACCTTTCATGTTTATGGAAAGCACATGCGACAATATTCAAAATCTTTTACCGTTGGATAAAAGAGTGCAACCAATAGTGTAGAAGAATCTTTTTGAATAGGCCCTTGTTCGTCAGTCTCAACACGTGTTATAAATCAAATTAATCAAACAAAAGAATATATAGTCACAACTAAAACGAACGTCGGATCGATTCAAGAACGATCATCTCAGAAGCCCTTTTGAAGAAATTTTCAGTTTCTATCTTTGATTTAAGCTATATAACATATCCGTTTAATTTCCTATCTTCTTTTCTTGTATCATGTAGTATCTACTCCTTGGCAAAGAGTATTCTTCTACTGTGTGTTTTTGTATTTTGAAGTTAAATTTTAATATAAACAAAAATTTGACACAAAAAAAGTCACAATTAAAAAATAATTACATTGAAAATGTAAAATAATTCTTAAAGGAAAAAAAATTGGTTAAATAATCAATTAATAAATATTTAAAAAAAACAAAATCTATCAAATGAAGGGGTACTAGTCAACGTATTCCCATATGGACATATGAAATAGTATGAATGAGGAGCTTCTTTATTATTGCCTTCAATGGTTTATCATTTGTTTTCAACGACTTCAAATTCTAAACCGATTCAGTTATCCAAACCGGTGAAACTGAATTTAAGATGAAATACTTATATCTTAAAGAATGACCAAAGACTACAATTGATAACCAAGTTATAATATACAATGCAATTTCGATGGAGTGGTGGACTTGGCCAATATTTATGGAGCCGAAGACTAGAGACTAATTCATATATCATTGACATCCCACCACGTTATCTAATATATCTACCCTAAGTTTTAAATTGTATTTTAATCTGAAGAAGCTATCTAAAGCCAATTATATGCAATAGTATTCTCTTTTTCATAACCAATATACCGTTTTTAGTAAATTAATCTTTTTAAAAAATGATAACCTAGAACATTTTAAATATTGGAAAACAATAATGGAAGCACATCAACACCTCCTCTAAGTTTCAAATGATAAACGGTTGACTAATTATTTGGTTTAGCACTGCAAAACCAAATTGCACTATTCATTTGCAACGAAATGGATGGTGAAAAGGAAGAAGAAGGGTTCGTTGCACCGAGATGCCGTCTCTCAGATCCTGCTCATCCTCACAGCCTTTGCCGGCGAGACAATCCTCGTCCTTCGTTATGCTTTAGATGCGGACCCGTCAACGAGGATGATGAGGACTATAACTGGAATAACTGGCATTACTATTGTGAAACCTGCAAGCTCGTGTTCCACGAAGACTGTAACATGATCCCACAAGGTATGAGACATCCTTATCACCCTAACCACCCTCTCTACATGACCCTTCGGTTTTCAGAAACCAGAATCCAATCATTCAAACACGGTGCGCTTGAAATGGCAATCTTTCTAGAGGGCGAGGCCACGTTTGACACTACGCTTGTTTTTGAGACCAACAACGCTTGTCACTGGTGTGGGAAAGAGCTTGGTGTAATGTTTTTTCGTTGTCTTGACTGTGATTTTAGTCTTGATTTTGAGTGCATTAGGGAAGATCCTCCTTACACTATCACAAACGTAGAGAAACATCAGCATGTACTCACTTTGTTTCCTAGACCACTCGTGGAACCTTGTTGTGCTTGTGGCTTGAGCGGAAACAAAGAGTTAGGTTATGCCTGTGATCCATGTAACTACGTAGTCCATCAAAAATGTCTCGAGCCACCACCACAAGTCGTAAACCAAGACGATCTTGCTCCATGTCTTCCACCACCTACATGAAAGCTAGCGTAAATATCCATAAGAAAATGTATTGGATCGATGGAGAAGAAATTTGAGCAACTTAAAAGAAGTCTGAAGAAGTACATAATATATACTGTATGTTGCGTTTTTTTGTGTGTTTAAAGTTCATGTTCGAAGAATATTGTGGTTACAATTTTAATAAGATATCTCAGCCATGAACATCTTCTTGTGTTTGGAAAAAGATGTACTTGATCATGAGCCAGAGAAAAGCATGTATTATATTTGCTGATTTTAATGGTTTATTTGAGTGTACCCTTGTTTGTTTTATGCTATATAGACATGTTCAACAATTATTTTTTCAGAAAATTACAAGGGTTGCTATTAAATCAACAGTGATGTTATTGAATGTTATAAAAGAAAGGAAGAAAAAGATAAAAATATTAATTAATCAAATTTAATAGTTGACACTTGACAAACACGTAACAAAAAAGCCTACACGCTTTGAATAATACAAATGAAGAACGTTTCACTACATGTTTTCTACTTTCTTGTACAGGTAATTTATCATCAATACAAAGCAAACCCATATACCGAATCGGTAAAATCACTAAATCAAAGAAATATACCAATATTGTAGTAATAATAATATATAGGTCATATTTTCAAGTTAGCTTCCTCGGCAAGTTATACGTTTTCTTCAGAAACTTAGTCGCAGACTCATCGTAACGGTAACACAAGACTCTTAACAGCGTGTTTGCTTCTGTCGGACTCCACGGACCAGAAGTCGGCGGTAACGGAAGCTTCCCTCTGTCGGAACCATGATTCTCGAGACACACCGCTTTAAACCGTTCAACCAGAGACTCCGTATCCGTACGCAGCAGCGGAAGTATACTCTTGACCGTCGTCGAAACCTTCTCGATCAAATCCAGAGGCAACCCGTCTCCGTTGGACCAGAAAAGATCGCATAGAAACTTGAAATCCTCATCTACCGCAGCGGAATCCTGAACCGTGAAGCCACGCGATGGTCCACCTGCGAGCAGGACCAGTAAGAACCCATCGAAAGAAGCTCTCATGATGTCTGAGATGACTCTGGTCCGGACTCTATCGTGAACGGATGATGAGATAATCTCAAGGCACCGTTCGAGCTCTTGAAGAAAGGATTCGATCCTCGAGGAAGAGACTTCTCCCACGTACAGACCGTCCCACAGAACGTTGCTCAGATCGTGGAATACGATTTTGTAAGCGGTCGCTTCAGACAACTGCTGTATTCCTTTCGAGCAGTAACCGATCGACTGCTCAAAGATCTTGGCTTTACCATCGAAAGCAGCTATCTCGGATTCCGGGAGACGGTTCAACGCTTTTCTTCCGGATGATTCGATTTCCGTCCTGATGTAATGCAGAGTGTTGATTCTGCAGCAGAACTGAAGTATTTCCGCCGAGTCATTACTCGTCCCGAGCTGCGACTTCTTCCTGTGAGAAGCCACCATCGGCTTCTCCTTCTTCTTGAAGACACCGTGTAGTCTCGACCCGACTGTGCACCTCGTTAAAGCGGGCAATGCGGGTAGAAACGTGTTCCGCGAGCCTAATGAAGAAACCATACAAAGAAACAAAGCATGAGCTACATCACTCCAAACACCAGAGGATAAACGTGAGAATCTGCATACCGCAGGAAGATTTCGCCTTTGATACATAATGCTGCATGCACTTGTCGAGACCCGACGTTAGCTCAGGGAGTAAAACGGGATGCATCAGTATCGGCAACAAGAAAAACGCTTCCAATGTCTCATCTACCATCCTGAGTATATCCACAGCAGAAGGAGCAATACCGAGTTTATTCGATCTCGGATTCCATACCTGCAGAGAGAAGAAAGGAACCAATCAATACAACTCTTCAAAAGAACTCAAAAAGGAAAGGTTTTTTGAAGTCGTTATAGATACCTCTTGCTGAAGATTCCGATCAATCCACTCCTTGAGTCTATCGACTCGGGTCTTGATCCACGATTTCACAAGGTTGCCAATAACGACTTCCGCTTCAAAAGGAGGCATCTCTCTTATAACCGATTTCCCACCATCTTCACTATCTACTGCATCTTGAACCGCGATCTGAACCAGATCCTTCTCAAGCTTATCTGCAGCGGTGAGTACTCTTATAGCATCCGGCGTCAACTCGGTGATACCCGACACGAATTTCTTCAGCTCAGTTCCATAGCACGAATGAAGCGTCGCTGCAGCCACACCAGCTGCAAGAGGATGCCAGTTCTTTAAGATTGGACTAAATATCGCCTTCTCGTTGAAAGCCAAATGACCAATATCCTCTGCAAGAATCGCAAGAACCGGGAGATTGCTCGTGCTCTGACGAGATTTTGACCGCTTGCTATGTTCCACCATCTTCTTTGTCTGTTGTCACAAACAAACAAAACATAAAAAAAAACTACCTAAATCACTGCAGGCACGTAATTAGATTGATCCAAGAAAAGAAAAACTAACAAACCTGTGAAAAGGCCATACGCAAGGAAGATCTGATATAGGTATCGACTCGATCACGCCCTGAATCGGCATGCTTCTTTTTCCTTTTATACTCGCTAGAACTATCTTCGACTAGTACTTTAGCTACCGAAACCCCCAACGAAACCGTTGTCTCAAGCGTCTCGACGTTATCGATGTTGAAAGTATCATGGTAAGCAAGAAGCCTCTTCTCAGCCCAGTCCATGATCAAACTCAAAACAGAACTCGAGATCTTAGCAAACTCAGGGTCATTCGTCTCCTTTGCGTCGTTCTCGACTTCAAGTACCAAGTTATGTGCCGCTACAAGCAAGTCATTCTCCACTTGACCAGTTGTAACATACCGATGAAACAACACCCAGAGAAAGCAAACGTTGTGAATCATCTGATTCATACCCAAGACGGGCCATGTTTTCTTTACAAGCTCCAAAACTTCATCTACTTCTTCAACAACCGATAGCTCGTCGTGAACATCGAAACAGGACTCTAAAAGCATCTGATAGATTCTAAGATTCAGGGGAAACCCGTCAGCCCAATGACAAGTCTCTGAGCCAATCCCGTTGCTGTTGGAGCGACTAGCAAGAGACATTACAAGACTCCTAAGGTTCTGCGTCTCTCCCGTGATCTTCCCGGTATCCAACGGCCTCTCGAGACCAGACCGGATGGTTTGCTTGAGCTGCTGAACCGATTTATCGGATTTGATTAAAGGAACACGAGGATGTAAGATCAAGCCGGCCTCGAGAAGCTTCAAGTTTCTCCTCTGCCATGATTCATACTCTTGCTGATCTGGAAAATCTGTGGCTTTGAGCTGCTGTAGAAGCTCGAGAGGTAGAACCATAGTCTCCACACGCCTCCCAAGCTAATCAGAATGACAAATTTCAAAGCTCAGTTTAGTTAATTTTACTAACATGAGAATCTGCAATTAACGATCATGAAGCTAAGATTCAAACAGATCTTCTTCATAAAACCCAAATTTCTGCTCTTTTGCGCATTTCTAGGGGAAATTTACAAATGAGAAACGTACCTGACCAGAAGCGATCCTGAGAAGTGCTCTTCGAATCCTTGAATCGATCTGCTCCGAAATTCGCATCTGAACTCGGACCAACTCACCCACCGTGACGGATTTCTTGATCCGATCCGTCTGACCCGACGATTCTCCTCCTCCTCCGTCTCCGTCGCTGCTTCGTTTCTTCATCCCTAACGCCTTCTTCACCTTGCTGGCAGCCGTCAACGTCAGAGATCGATGAAGCGACGGTGACGGCGATAGCGCCGCAGTCGCCACTCCGTTGCTCCGATCGGACTTCGGCGATTGCGGGATGTAAGTCAGGGGACGACTTCCGGTGCTCCGGCAAGCTGCGACTAAGATCTCGTAAGCTGTTTCTCGGAGCTCCGAATCCGATAAATTTGGGGCTGGGTCGCCAAATGGAGAAGGCAACGATTCCATTTCGAATTAAGCAAATTCACGAAACTTACAAAAAAGAGAGAAACTTTTGGATCAAAGTAAGAAGCTAAGAACTCAAAACCCTTTCTTCCGGATTTAGCACAGTACCGAAAATGATTCTCTCTTGCGTTAAAAATTAAATTACTTTTTTTTTGGGGATTACTGAACAAACTTAATTCAAAATTAATTAAAAACGACAAGAGAATTTTATGGAAAGGAAAGGGTCAGAGAGACATGGAGATGATAAAAATCATTGATTCATCTTCACCAAATGCACAAAGAAACAAACAAAACTGCAGAAATAAAGTAAAACCCCAAATATAAAAAGATGATTAATTTGCGTTGCGCAGACTATGATTCTTGCTTGAGGTTAAAGAATGAATGATTTTGAAAGACACAAACCAAAAAGAAAAAAAAAAAAAGACAAAAGAAAAACGAAGCGGCAACAAAAGAAGATTTTGAGACAGGTGTCTTCTTCGGTACCAAACGCATATACACAGAGATATGAATGTGTATGTATGTACTATATATATGAAAAATTTATGTTTTTGTTTTTAAACACAAAGGTTTAAACAAAAAAAAAAGTTTTTACACACAAAGGAATAAAACTGGTTTATAAATATAAAAAAAAAGGATTACGGACTGTTATCAAAGTTAAAAGGGTAAATTATCAATCTCAGTCAGTTGAAATTTGTAAGAAATTAAATAATTTTTACACTAATCGCTTCCTTTGATTGCAAAAAAGGTTTAGCAATTGTTATTTGAACACAAAGTCAATAATGTTTTCAATAATTGACCCAATATTGTTCCGTGCGATGCCAAGACTTTTCTACCATTTTTATTTGTTATAGATTTTGGATTGAAGGAAATTTTCAATATTTCACACGGCATTTTTCTCTTCTTTATATTTTGTTTTTGACAATATTCCACACGGCAATAAAACAAGTATACTGATTCAACTAAAAGAAATTATATCAATCACAAGAAAATTCGACTTGGCAATCCAACTTCTATAAAGAGACAACAAGGCAACAATTATGCTGATCATAGTTAGCAAACTAATTTAGTATAAAAATCTTATAAACTATATAAGCAAATTAATGAATTACGAAGGTTGGTTAAAGAGAGTTATTTTTATTTATTTATAATTCGAACAAAAACAAAAGGAGAAGAGAGTGTGTTAAAAACTAAAATATCATTTGGGGTCAAATTATAAGATATATTTTACTTATTATATAGCCATGTAGTGCGGCGGTTGTTGACCATTGTTTATTTTTTCATATCCTTTTTTCGAATCTTTTCTAATCATTTACTAGTTCCTTATTTTTCAAATAATGCTAATTAAAGAAAGAATGTACATACCAAATAATACTTTTTAGAAAGAAAAAAAAATATACAAAAGAATATTTAGATCCAACCTTAAATGTGGCACTGCTAATTTTATTGTCGATGATTGTTTTTCTTATATTTTACGCCACATTTTTTTGTATCTAAGAAATTAGAAAATGCAGTGTGCAAGTGTTATTCATCAAATAGATAGAATATTATTTTGTCGACAAAAAAAAAAGAATATTATTTTATACGTAAATGAGAGATAAAGAAACTACTATAAAAGAATAAAAAAATTGCGTCGCCTGAGAGATTCGAACTCTCGCGGGGAAACCCCATGTACTTAGCAGGCACACGCCTTAACCACTCGGCCAAAGCGACTTTTGTGAAGGAAAGTAAGATAACTGGTATTACCGCTTATAACACAGATCCTTTCATTACGTGTGAATTTTTAAACTATGGGTTTGAAATATATATCCTTGTGGATCTCAAATTCGACTGTTTAACCCAAATCATTTTAAGGGGTTGCTAATTATGGGCTTGAAAAACAAATGGGCTCAACTCAGCCCTTTTATGTTTTAAACTTTCACAAATTTGACCCCATAGTTCAATCCTCCACCTGTGTGTGTGGATGAGTCTCTAAACCTTCATTTTCCTCCGAGCTTCCGTTTCTCCGGCAATGTCGTTGAAACTGAATTCCCCTTTTCCAATTTTCGCGCCATCTGTATTTCCAAATTCGAACCAAAGAGGACCCAGCGAGGTACGATTCTCTAGGTGGGGCAACGCTAATGCCGAGCGGTTCGAGCAGCGTCGCCGGAGCCAAGAGGAGCTCGAGGCGGAGATCCGTCGCGACCGCCGTTTCGACGGCGCCACTAAGATCGTCCATACGCACGATTCCGTCGCCGCAGCCTCTGAGCCTAAAACGTCACCGTTTAGGTCCAGGGGCACTCCTTCACTTCCCTCCGCTCGATCGATTCCGGGTCGGAGATCCAAATACTCCAAACCCGATTCAGGACCCAGCAAGCCGAAGAACAAACCCAAGGTACCCGATTCGCCACCGCAGTTAGACGCAAAGGCGGAGGTTAAGCTAAGCGAAGACGGGTTATCTTACGTCATCGACGGAGCTCCTTTCGAATTCAAATACAGCTACACGGAGACACCTAAGGTCAAGCCGCTGAAGCTTCGTGAGCCTGCGTACGCGCCTTTCGGACCCACGACGATGGGAAGGCCGTGGACTGGTCGTGCTCCGCTTCCTCAGTCGCAGAAGGCGCCGAGGGAATTCGATTCTTTTCGACTGCCGCCGGCGGGAAAGAAAGGAGTGAAACCTATTCAGAAACCGGGTCCATTCCGACCCGGGGTTGGTCCTAGGTATGTTTACACCAAGGAGGAGATTTTAGGGGAGCCATTGACGAAGGAAGAGATCAGAGAGCTGGTTACTTCTTGCTTAAAGACAACAAGGCAATTGAATATGGGTAAAAAGCTCAATACTTTGTGTTCAATTTGCCTTTGTTCTATAAACTTCACGAGATCAGTAGTTCTTCTTGATAATCAAATCTCTTTCTTGGAAATGGTATTGGTGGAACTGTTTTCTCATGTTAGATCAGACTTTTGGTTGCAAGTTATGATAGAATGAGAGTAGAAGAAGATGTGATCAAAAGTTTGTGTGTCTTCTCAGGCAGAGATGGCTTGACGCATAACATGTTGAACAACATACATGATCTATGGAAGCGACGAAGGGTCTGTAAGATCAAATGCAAGGGAGTTTGTACAGTCGACATGGATAATGTTTGCGAGCAATTAGAGGTTCTCCTCGGAACTGTTGTATTCTTTTCATTTCGTATTAGTAGACAACGCATGGATCATGCTTGTTTAATAGGTTGTATTCGTATTTACGAATCTGTGAATTGAAATGGCAGGAGAAAATTGGTGGAAAAGTGATATACAGAAGAGGAGGTGTGATTTTCCTTTTCCGTGGTAGAAACTATAACCACAGGACGAGACCGCGCTTCCCTCTTATGCTGTGGAAGCCTGTAGCACCTGTTTACCCAAGGCTGATTCAACACGTGCCCGAAGGTTTAACTCATCAGGAAGCCACCGAGATGCGGAGGAAAGGACGAGAGCTCAAGCCCATATGCAAGCTAGGTAAGCAAGCGGCTTGTTAACTCTATCCTGTGTTGTTGGCACGGTTTTCTTCAAGACCGACAATGTTTAACTTTATCCTGTGTTGGTTTGGATCATGTAGGCAAGAACGGTGTGTATTGTGACCTTGTCAAAAATGTGAAAGAAGCATTCGAAGTTTGTGAATTGGTTCGGATCGATTGTCAAGGGATGAAGGGCAGTGATTTTAGGAAAATCGGTGCCAAACTCAAGGTTTGATCTATCGTCATTCAGCGTATGTTTTGCTATTCCAGATACCTCTTTATTGAACCTGTTGGTTGTGTTATTGTTCTCGCTCGCAGGATCTTGTTCCGTGCGTGCTCATATCTTTTGAAAACGAGCAGATTCTTATGTGGAGAGGACGAGAATGGAAATCGTTTCTCACAACTCCAGATAAAAAAGATGATATACTCGGAGATATCGATGTCGATACTGCCTCGCCGGAAGATGATGATGAAACATCGATGTCACCAGATCAGACTCAGATTGCTGCTACACAGAACTCTCTTCCAGGTTCTATGGAGATGCAAGAAGGCCCAGACGGTGATGATCTGATCCCATCAGCTGTAGATATCTTGGCAATGGAAGGCAGAAACAATAATAGTTTACAGAGCTCGTCGAAAGAAGACGCAACTGCAGATAACTACTCTCTTGGAGATCATCAAGAACCTGAACAAGATCCAGAAACATCGGAAGAGATCAACAAACAAAGCATAGAGAGAGTTTTGAATCTGATGAAACAAGCTGTAGAGAGCGGGACTGCGCTTGTGTTAGAAGAAGCTACTGATCTTGACGCAGACGCAGTATTTGCAAAATCAGTCGCCTTTTCGAATGTCGCTACACCGGGACCAGTTTTCCAGCACGGGTTGAGGAAAGAACCAGTGGTTAAGAAGCAGGAGAACCGAGTCTTCGGGTACCAAAACCTGGAGGCGAAGACGAGTGATGTTGTTGTGGTTTCTGGGAAAAAAGAAGTTGCAGTGAGAGTGGAAAGAGATGAGAAGAAGGAGAAGGAAGGATTGAAGAAGAAATTGGATAGGTTTGATGAAGAAGATTACAGAGAAGTGATACCTCAGGGAACACTGAAAGTAGATGAACTAGCTAAACTGCTTGCGTAATAGATTCTGTATTTTATTTGTCTTGTTGTGTGTATAATGTAGTGTAATGAAACCAAAAGAATAGTATATGGTAATTCACATTTTTGATTCTCCATAAGTCAAATGTGAAGACATTTGTTTTCATAATTCTGTATCTTCTGTACAACTATATCTATGGACCCATACCATATTATAGTTTATACTTATTCCATTGTATATGATTTTATTTTTCTCACTGTATTATCCATGCCCTCAATGAGATCAACAACGAAGTCACGATGACAAATAGATAATTTTGTTTAAATCAAAACCCAATTCCCCATCTCTCTCCAAATCCATAGAATTTTCTTCGATTGAAAAACACAAAAATCCAAGAAAAAACGACTTTTTATTTCCCGAAAGATGATGATGAATCAGACACAAGCAAACTCCATTCTCTTCTTCTTCATCATCATCGTCTTTTTAGATTATGTCTCTGCTCAATCTACTCCTCTGTACACAACCAACGACCTCTTCAAGCCAAGCTTAGCCATCATCACCGGAGTCTTCTCCATCGTCTTCACCCTCACTTTTGTTCTCCTCGTCTACGCCAAATGCTTCCACAACGATCTTCGGTCAGAGAGCGACGGAGAAGGAGACGGAGGAAGACAAGATCGTCTATGGCAAGGACTCTTCAATCGATCTTCTCGGCTCTCCGGTCTCAACAAAACAGAAATCGAGTCTCTTCCGTTTTTCAGATTCTCTGCTTTGAAAGGATCCAAACAAGGGCTTGAGTGCTCTGTTTGTTTGTCTAAATTCGAAGATGTTGAGATCCTCAGGCTTTTGCCTCGATGCAAACACGCTTTTCACATCGGCTGTATTGATCAGTGGCTTGAGCAGCACGCCACGTGTCCTCTGTGTAGAAACAGAGTTTCCATTGAAGACGAACTCTCTGCTTTGGGTTGTCGTAGTAGCAATAGTCTGAGGCTCATGGACGAATCTCAGGCGAGAGAAGAAGACTCGAGCTTGGAGATTTACATCGAACGTGAAGAAGGAATCAGTGATGGGTCTTCCAGATTCAGCAGTTTCCGCAAGATTCTAAAGATTGGTAAGAAGGAGAAATCGTTGTCGCTTGATGAACAAGGTAACGAGAAACACATGCACAAGTTCAATCACAGGATCGTTGTTTCAGACGCCGTGTTTAAGAACCGTTGGAGTAATGTGACTTCATCGGATTTGACGTTTTTGACATCTGAGATGTTGAATTCGAAGTCAAGCGACAGATTCTCGTCGATGGAGCGAGTCTATAGAGAAAATGGAGGTAACTTGCGGGAAAAGGAAGATATGGAGATGAAGAGAATGTTTAAGAACAAAGACTCGACGAGAAGAGCGGTGTCTGAGATCACGGCTGTTCCTAGACTCAGCGTTTTGCAAGTTACAATAGCGGCTAGAGAAAACGCGGTTGGAGGGAGCGACAGCGTTTTAGCCGCTTCCACGTCGCAGAGTGATTCGATTGCTGCGACGGAGGAAAGAAGACGGCGGTTATGGTTGCCGATTGCGAGAAAAACGGCCCAATGGTTTGTTAACAGAGAGAAAAGGAATGAACTAAACACGTCACGGCGAAATCTTAACGTATAGTTTTCTTCTTTACTGAAAATTTGCAATTTTTTTCTTCATACATCATTTCAAAAGTTTGTCGAATAAATTTAGGTCAAATGATTATTCATCATTAGTTCAAGAAAAAAAGAAATTGATTGATCATCTCTTTGTGTAGATACACGAGGGACTGATTTTGAACAATTGTGTAGATATTATGGATTGATTATGGTGATCATTTTTTATATAACGAATTTTTGGAATTTTCGGGTGAAAAACAAATGAACACTATTGTTTATATTCCAAAGAAATGAATAATGTGAAGCATGACACAATTGTAAGAAAACATGTAAACCACTAAACTTGCACACTTATCTTAATTACCAGAATATGTGTCATAATCAATAATGGATTAATATCTTTCTCTTTGATAAAAAAATTAGTCAACTTTGATTAAACACATTGTTAACTACAGATGGTAGTCAAATTTGTTTTATGGTGAGATTGTAAATTACACACATTGTTAACTACAAATGTCTTTATATATCCTAACTAATAATTATCCGAAATTATCACCAAAATTTGTCTTCTTTATGAAGAAAATTTCATAACTTTGAATCGTTATGGTTAACATCTCCACTGCATGTTCTTCCTTCTTCAAGTTTGAAATCTTTTTTCAGAGAACTCCTTAAAACCAGAGCTCATTGGGAAAGGAAAAAAAAAAAGATAAAAAACAGAAATGAGACATACAAAACTGGAGGTGATGGTGATTGATCTTCTTCAGCCATTGTCTAACATATACACCTATTTACACCACACAATCAAAAGATCCTAAACTTTCTCAAGTTTATCAAGGTTTAAAGATATTCTAAGGCTCTCTTTGTCTTTTTTTTTTTCAGTTTATCAATGACTGTTTACAGACCCTGGAAATTTGAATTGACGAGAAAACAGAGAATATAAAAGGAAAAAAAAGCCGAATTGTATTACCAATCTTCAAGCCAGTTTTGAGCATCTTGATCCTCTGTTGTGTCCAGCGATTGGGAAGTCTCTAGATGAAGAACCGTATCATTCTCTAGATGGTGTTGAATGCGCGAGATTATCTCTTGAGGAGCTTGAAACTCACGGTCACTAATCGCTTTCCAGTTGAGTCCACTGAACCATGGATGTTTCTTGATCGACTGAGTACCTTCTTGGCTCCCGAACCGCAGGATTTCATCGACTTCAAGCAGCTACGCAGAGTTTTTAAAGACGCGTGTAAGGGAATGAAACAAGAGATGTGAACTTTGGATGGATGTGTTACTGTTAGAGATGAGAGACCTTAGTGATGAGATCTTCCGCTTCTGGGCTTAGAGCTCGAGGGAAAGTTAGTTGGCCTTTGGCAATCTTCTGATACGTGTCTAGCTCGTTTCCTCTCCATGACCCAAATGGCAACTCGCCTTGTAGCATATAGTAGATCAAAACTCCAAGTGCCCACCTTTTCGAATCGACTCAAAGAGAAAAAAAAAGGTTAAACAAATCTTCATATAGTAGTAGTCGGAGATAACAGAGGAGTGACGAAGGGAAGATGTATGCATACCAGTCAGCTGCAAAACCATGGCCTTTGCCTTGAACAATTTCTGGGGCTAAGTAATCTGCATTTCCGCAAATTGTGAATGTTCTTTCCCCAGACAGTTTCTTCGCAAATCTGAAGTCTACAATCTACAGTAAAAGAAGAAAACTCGAATTATCATCTGGTGGCAAGAAACGGGAAAAACAAAGTCTTGAGTAATGAAAAAACACAACAGACCTGTAGATACCCGGACTGATCCAACATCAGCAAGTCGGGAGACGAACCTCTGTAGACAATGTCGTTCTAGAAATTCAAAAGGAGAGAGAGAGAGATTCAGACTGCGAAATCTTGAAAAACTTAAAAAGGGAAAGACGAATTCTTTACCTTGTGTATATCTTCTAAGGCAGACACAAGTGAGGCGGTAATGAAACAGGCAGATGGCTCTCCAAGGGGAGAATGAAGCAGTGAAGATAAAGGACAAGCAAGGGTTGTGTTCAGTAATATGGCTGCATATGTTTGATCAGCACATGTGCACAAGACCCCGGGAACAAAAGCAGAAGGCTTTATTGCGTTCTTCATCAGATTCCGCTCTTTCAAAACTTGTGCCTCTTTGCCTAGCTTCTTCACCTTTTGCCTTGAAAATCTTTTCAAGCTAAGCAAGTTTTCCTTATCTTTCAAATGCACGAGCCCGATCTCACTACAGTCTGTTGAACTCAAGCATGTTGTCCATTCCTGGATAAAAACGATATTGCGTAAAACCGAGGGAGTGCTGATTTGCGATTGATGTGCGAGTAAGATTGCTTACCAGGTCTGCAAGAGTGGCTTTAGCAAGAGCTGTGGTATCAGTAACTTTTGCAGATTCCTTCGATATGTCAAACGAAGAATGTCTCGACCTAAACAGAACAAAAAAAAAACACATTAAACGGAATTATTCCTGTGATGAAAACTGCAGAGCTGATCCAAAACAACGATGGATGACGAAAACTGTAGTTTCATACTTGTGACTGTCGTCTGAAAGATTGGTCAGAGGGCCAACCGCTGAATCGAAATTTTCTTTTGTTAAAACCACACAGACCACTTCGCCCACTGCGACTACACTTAAGGAGTCTTTGAGTTCGCCAAGAAGAGCCCATTCACCAAAGTAACTCCCTTCTTGCTTTTCTATGGAGACTTCTGTTCCGGTTTCAGGATTCTCATGATCTTTAGTGATCCCAGTTTTAAGGCTTGAAACATTTGGACTCTCCAATATCTCTGTACCAAAAGTAATTCTCACGAGTCCCTTCTGGATAACATACAATCCCTCAAGTTTTTCATCCTATACATTCACAGAACAGTGTGAGATAGGTTACGTTGGAGTCGATAAAGTTAGTTATCTTCATAAAAATTTAAACTAATTTCACCTTGTTAACTATCGTTTGTCCATCGGAAAAGCAAGCTTCGGAAAGAGACTCTGCAACATGGCTTAGTTGCAAAATCGTAAGACGCGAAAGAAGATCGACAGAACGGAGAAGCTTCAAGGCTGCCAAGTTGGAAAACTCGGACATCAGAATTCCTCGAAAATCTTCTCTTTTTAAGGCCCACAATGTTCCATGATCCACAGAGCGTACAGAGGCCTGAAGCGGCTTGTTATGCCTGACGCCGTCATATGAATCAAGAAACTTCATTAGAGAGATAAGTATACTTCGTTGGCTGAATGAATAAGAAAAGTACAGGAAACCCACATCAAGGCGAGTTCACCGAACGATGATTGTTTCTCAGCTGTATACCGCTGCAAGATCCTAGGAACCTCACCGTTCTTTTCATCCTAACATTCATCACAGTGTTAATAGGACCTCAAAAGCAGCTCACAACTTCAATCAACTTAGTATCGAACAAACCTGAGTTGATAGGACCTCAAATTCTCCGCTGCCGACAACGTAGAAGCAGTCACCTTCACCACCCTGTAAAAAAGAACAAACCAGAGAGATTATGATATCAGATGTTTACTGGTGAATGTGTGTTGTAGAATCTGCGATCAAGGAGGAAAATGCTTCCTACCTGTTTCACAACAACATCCCCTGGGTTCACTTCAAGCCTCTGCATGCAATCCAGCAAAACATGGCACTGAGAATCAGTGAGTTTCCTGAAGAGGAAATGGTCACGTAAAACCCGCTCAATGTGTGCCTGCAATGAGAAATTTCAGCTTTTAGCCTCAGATGTCAAGAAATGACTCAAGGCGTTTGCCAATTGGAGGACAAGCACTCTTACTTCTTCTTCCCAGGTTTTCCTATGGGCTGGAGATGGAGGAACCCAAGCATGTCCGTTCTCTAGTGAGCTCTCAATGGCTCGTATTCTAGCACGAGACAGATCATGCCTCACACGTTGGTTTTTAGAGTTCCATCCAAAGGTGGAAGGAGATTCCGAGCCTGTCAGCTCCACTACTTGTGGGATAGGAGGCTGCATTAGTGTCCCTGTACTCGTCAGTTGCCGAGGAGCATCCTAAGAAAGATTCAAAATCTAGCCTCAGCAACAAACAAAGAGAAGAAAAGATGATATATACACACTGTTCTACAAAAAAAAGAAGCTTTCCTCACATCTTTTAGCCCATTAATGTGCACGACAATGATGGTGATATCATCTGTACGAGTTTCATACTGTAGCCATAGCCTATATGATTCAGCAACAATCGCAGCACAAGCATCTCGAGGATCCTTATGTTTTGCAACCTGAAAAAAGAAAGAAAAACATTCAAATTTCGCGAGGCTACTACTTCCTCTAAGGAGCAAGACCGTGGAGGGAAGAAGTACCTTACCATGTCAACCACAGTTTGACTAGAGATGAACTCGAAGACACCATCGCTAGCAACCACAAAGAAAGGATTATCCGGTGTGAGCTCAACCACAGCGATCTCAGGGTTAGCAACAACCCCAATCGTCTCTGCGATAGAATCGCCAATACTCCTCGTAAAAGCAGTCCCTGGGTACATTCCATTGGGCACCCAAAGCCTCGGAGGGTCTCCGTCGTCGTCTTCCTCAGTACCCCAACACTGAACGTCAGGGTTTTTCAAGCCTTCAATCTGATCAAGAGTAAGAACTCTAGCCCCACAAAGCTTGACCCTTTCGAGCTCGTCAGGTCTAAACGGGGTCTGGTCAATAGACAAATCAACAGCTACAAGATCACCTTCTCGTCTCTCGGCCAGAACCGCCCTGGAGTCACCTGCATTCGCCACGTATATCGTCCTCCCTCTAACCATAACCGTAATCGCCGTCGTCCCACTCATGGTGTCATCAACTACGTCGGCGTGCAACTGAGAGTTGGTGCTCAAGAAGGCCGAATTGCAAGCCTCCGCGGCATCTACACGGAACCTCCCATGCCTAAGAAGATTCTCACAGAGCCTCCGCTTCACAAACTGCGAGCACTGTGCACCGAACTCGCCGTGCCCATCGAACACCCCGAAGAAGTGATCACCGGAGTTACTCCCGAAAGGCGTGTGGATGGCGAAACTATCCTGATTGGCCTTGTCCAGAGCGTCGGGATAGTACCCTCTTTGAGAGAGAAACGAGTATCTCAATTCATAGTTGCAAGACGGGACTTTCGCAATCCTTGACCCATCCGGTGGTAGAAATTGAGCGGAAACCCTAGAAAGCCGAGTGATTCCCCATTCCTGGTCCCTGCTCAAGCTGAGCTGGTGAATTTCGTCGTCGTCTTCATACTCCACCGCATCTGAAGTGAAATTGAACACCGGATTCTCCTCCTCCTCAGCCGCCGCCGCCGCCGCCGCAGTGGCGGTCGCAGCTCTCGTGCCTCTCGCCGGAGTTTGATGATGAGTTTGCCTGATGCTGTTTTCTTTCGTCGCGCAAATCTGACCAATGCAAGTTTTGGAATAAGCGCAACCCATCACAGAGAGAGGCGAAGAGAACGCGAAACTCTTTGTAAGCTCATCAATCAACGAATCCAAATTTCAGAAACCGCCGGAGAGGGAAACGGAAGTCGAAACAGTTTCTTCAATGGTTTCGTCACTTTCCACGGAAAAAACAAAAAAAGAAAACAAAAAATCCCGAGAAAGTTTCGAAAAGAGACAAGAGAATGTCGCTGGGAAAATCTATTGAAGATACTGGGAAGAAAAAAAAAAAAGCCTTTCGGCCGATGAAGAAAAAAAAAATTTGGGAATCGGAAGATTAAAGATTCGGTGGAGTAAACTGAATCATACAAAACTTTCTAACGGAAAATTGACAGCGAAGAAAAAAAAGCAAATCACGGGAAAATCTCGGATTAAAAGATTCAAGATAACATAAAATTTGAAATTGAAAATTGCAAAACACAAGTTCTCGATCTACTACTACTGTAAGAACCGTTGCAGCGAGACGATTGATAAAAGCGAATACTTAAAATATTAAAAATTTGCTAACTAAATTAATTATTATTTTTTTATTTTGTTTGTGTTGTTGCGTGTGTTACTTACAACCAATCGAATAGCTGAATAGCAATTGGATAGAGAAATGGTTTGCTAACGCTTTCGGACTGATCCACTTTAAATAATGTATAGTTATATTCTATTTTTAATCCTATTATGCAAGATATTTTTTTTAAATGAAATAAAAAGTACATTCTTCAAAGGAAATTATGTAGTTATACATTTACTAATTGTGTCATACACACTCATGCTAACATTAACATCATATATATATATATATATATATATATATATTTATCATCTAAAGATTTTTTATTAAAACACAAAAAATTACAATTACGGAATACATTTTCAAAATATATTCGTTAAATATAACATTTGAAATTTTTAAAAACAACAACTCTAAGAATCTGAAATTAAAGCAGGATTAGAACTAGTAAATGAATAAATAGTTACAACATCAGATTTGTAAACTTTTTAATACTTCTGAAATTCAAAGTCTAATAGTATTAAAGCTGCTCAAGTTCAATCAACGAAACTAAAATTTCATTATTCGATAAGCAAGAGCTGTATCTTAAAAACTCTCAAAAACATCAATATTATAAAGATAGAATTACGCCTTCAAAGAAATCCAAAGGAACAACCACTGTTCAATAGCAAAAGATCAAGGACTAAGAGCAAAGTCTAAACTATTCTGTAATAACCAGGCATGCTCTAATTATCCACCGGTCATTATAGCGGCAAGTACAAAACAAGAAAAGAATGCATGGAAGCTTACTTAACCATAGTTCGCAGTCTAGCAGAACAGTTTACTCGGTTTGAGCTCATCCACATATCTCGAGGTGAGAACACGGCAGCAGATGCTCTAGCAGCCTTAGCTTCCACCTTGGACCCTGCGGTAAAACGAGTAATCCCAGACGAAGGTATTGAAAAGCCTAGCATAGACCTAGCACTCAAAACACCAGTTGTAAGCGCTATTACCATGCGACCATCAACCCGGTCACAAATGCAACAATCCCAATATCCGGGACCGTCCAACATAGCCTGCCATCCCGACGAGGATGAGCCAGCTAACAACCCAGCCGAGGATGCGGAGTCAAACCTGACCTCCTCTCAGAGTACTCAGGAATCAACAATCTATTCAGACTGGAGAATACCCATCCTCAAATACACCCTACATAGAACAGCTCCCTCTGACAGTTGGGAAGCTCGAAAGCTCAAGGTTAAGAGTGCCCGTTATAGCATGTTATTTGATGACAAGTTATACAAGCGCGGACTATCCGAACCGTACCTTAAATGCGTACACAGCGAAGAAGCCTACACTGTAATATCCGACACTCATCTAGGCCATTGCAGAAGTCATACTGGAGTCTGGTTACTCGTCATTCAAATCAAGAAACTCAGTTATTTCTGGCCAACCATGATAGCGGACTGCTAGAGATTGTCCAAAAGCTGTGACAAGTATCAAAAGCATGCTCTATGCTCTAATTAAAACAAGATTAGAACTAGTAAATGAATAAATAGTTACAACATCAGACTTGCAAGTTTTTTAATACTTCTGAAACTCAAAGTCTGATAGTATTAAAGCTGCCCAAGTCCAATCAACTAAACCAAAATTTCATAATCCAATAAGCAAGAGCTGCATTTAAAAAAAAAATTAAAACATCAATATTATAATTAAAGACAGAATTATGTCTTCAAAGAATCCAAACGAACAACCAGTGTTCAATAGCAAAAGATCGAAGACTAACAGTAAAGTCTAAACCATCCTATAGTAACCAGGCTGCAATAAAAAGAATTGAGAAGCATAAAATTAACGGAATAGCGAACCACTGACTACTAATAAAGTATTACAAAACCTACAAAAATAAATTCATAAAACAAAACCTGAAACTAGCTAAATCTCTGCTAAGAACAGAGACAAGCCAACAAAAAAAGTCACCAAGGGAAGATCTGACCAGGGAAAGAGCTGATAAGAGAAATATGACTTAAGGAAGGCCAAAAAATACAGTCAACCACTTAGACATAGCACACAAATGGCGAGTCACTCAAATATCTAAAGCAACAACTGAAAGAGAAGAAACGAGAGCGACCACTACGCACTGTAGGACCAGCAGATCCACCACCTCCAAACTCCCACCACCTAGAACTACTCAAGGATGAAACTTTGAACCGAATCTAACACCAACTCAATATCCAAATCGAAACCATCACTCAAAGCTCCTAGAAATTAAAAATCCAGCAAAGGAAACAAAAGCAAAAGCACATAAAAAAAAACAGATCGGCATTAATTCTAAAGAAACAATTCGATACTGATGATCACTAGAAAGAAACTAGCAGCAGCCGAAAGCAAAGAGATAGGTTAGAGCGTTTTATCTCACTACATCTAATATGTATATTAATGATCTGATAATTATAAAATCAAAAGATTTAAATTATTAAATCTATATAAAATTTGTAATATATGAATTTAAAGTAATAACAGTTTAGTTTGTTATCATGTACCATAAAACTTATATTTTAATGTAACAATTCATGTTTAAATTTTTTTATGTATGAATGTTTGTTATTTGATTATTTATTGAAGAATTATCAAATACGCATATGCAAGGTCATTAAGTACTGTATAAATAATCACCAATTCAGTTAATTTCTAAAATAGATAGCAAAATTAATTTATAAAATAAATAGCAAAATCTAACACACTCATACTAATCTACAAACGACACTTTATAAGTGAGAAGAGATATGAAAAGGGCAGCCACGTTTGGGGCATTTAATTGTAATAATGAGCTAATACGTAAACCTCTGAATGCGAAAATGGTCCCTCACGAGTCACGACCTAATTATCTTTCGAATTATTTAGCACTCTCTCGTTATTGGTTAATTATTGCTCTCTATCGCTTTCCGTCATCAACCTATTTAATTAGTTTAAAAAATACCCTTTCATTGCTCTTGTACGGTAGATCATAATAATTAATATGTTGAAACTTTTTCTGATGAATTCATACTATAATCTAAGAGAGGGGACAAAAACAACAACATGAGTAACTAAAATATACAGTTAAGCATAATTAAAAAGAGCTTTATGACACAGAACAAAACTACATTTTATGAAATTGTTGAAAAATATATGTTTAATTTTATATATCGTGAGATATTATCGTAACTTCTTCTTTTTCTTAAAATCTATGTACCATACGTAGTTTTTACAGTTGTGGTATTTTTTACAGCCGCATGCAACCACATGTCGCAACTCACAAATCAAAAAAACATCTTGTAGCAGCTTTTGAGTCATAATAATTTCATCGAAAAAACACAAAAAAAACCTAAAACTTTATAGAGACTGCTTTAACAAAAATAAAACATTATAAAGACTGGAAAAACCTTATCCAGAATTTCACGTCAATCATTAAAGATCCATCGCATTAGTGTCTCCACCAATCATGCATGTACAAATTTAATAATACCATTTCTATTTTATCGTTTATATACTCATCTTATTTGAAAAATCTCTCCAAAACTAGATTTTTCATCATATTGGAAAAAAAAGAAGAGAAGAAGATCTTCGTTCATCTGAAGGCTAATAGCTATTATCAAATTTTGACAAGAATATTCTGAAAGTTCGAATCCCAAATGTTAATATTGTCTCTTTTAAAAAAAAAAACTCTTTCTTTCTTAGGTCGATCGAGAAAGTTTATGGTCCGACTTTCATTAATTATTCAATTTCTTAAAATGATGATAACTGATACAATAAGTTGATTGAAATATATATGGTGTCTAGTATAGCTACAGCTTGTACAGATTTATCAATTTAAAAAGTATAGTTGTAAGTTTAAACAAATTTTTAAACTTTTATAGTAAATCGCTGTATAAGAAAAATAGCAACCACATATGGCTTTAAGAAATCGTTCGACATTCCAGAACTTTATAAGAAGATTCATATTCTTTGGTTGGATATGAGTCATAAGACTTAAGATTTATGACTATATGCTGTCCCTAAAAAGACAACAAAGCAATGTAAAGATTGTTGAATTTTGAATGGAAATATATGTAAAAGGTATACGTACTTAATTATGGTTTTATAAGTGGATGATGTTAAAAGATGCATGTACCTGGAGGGAACAAATAGCCTTTGAGCCCCATAACATGTCGGAACATAACCAATACAATTCTTTGTTAAATATATCATTGTAAATTATTTGTATGTTTATTTTTAATTAGAGTCAAATATAATTTGTATTGTATCACTTGCCTTTTTTTCCAAACACAACCACACATACCCAATCACATATTCACATGTGAATGTTTTTGTTTGTTTGGGCGAAGAACAAACAATTAAAGAGATCAAGAAGCCACACAATGTGGACACATACCTATAACACTTCTTCTTTCTTATTTTTTTGGCAAGTATATAGAACACAACAGCACATGTTACAACTATGAGCTCTCTCTTTCTTTCTTAATGACTCGATTCACATTAATAGCACAGCATTTTGCTTAGCCACACCAGACGAAAAAATCGTATATTTTCACGTCAAACCATTTTACTTAAATAATTATACAAGTTTATTTCAGGTGTAGTCTCGTCTACGAAGTAGAGCAAATGAAACAACAAAAGTATAAAATAATATTTTATTCCAAATTCCCTCATGTGCAATAGATAATTTGATGATTATGTTTGTCCGATATTGGTATTGTTAGACTAGAATTGCTAGACTCGGTAAATGTCTTGAATACACAAGAAAACAAATATTATATTAGGTGAAAAAAATCTTTAGGTTTGATCATTTTAAACCTTTTTAATAAACGAGTTTGTTTCGGAAATGTATAATTTGTGATTTTTTTTATATAAATATAAATCAAAATCGCTATGTCAAATTAACCATCAGACTTTTTTTTTGGTCGAAATTAACCATCAGACTTATGAATGAGAAGAATGATACAAAAATGGAAATTAGGGCAAAGAAAATTGAGATGGGAAAATACAAGAAAATGAAATATGTCCACAAATAAATCGTAGGTTAATGGGCCTTTTTATTTTGGATATTTAAGTTTATGGCCCAATAAAGAAGATCCGACCCGATCCAAAACACAAGTAAACCTTCCCGTTCAATCTATTATCACTGAACCTCAAAAGTCGAAAACCTTTGATAGTCGCCGTTTCCTTCCCCTTCACCGTTCATCATCGCCGCTTGTGACCGGTGAGTTTTCTTCTTCGTTTCTAGTCTCCTTATATTTGTTTGGTCGAAGCTCGATGAGATCTACTCTTGATATCTGAGTCTTCTCTTAGGTTTGATGTGCCAATTTGAAACGAAATGTATCTGAAACTGGGTTTTTTGATTTTTCTTTTCTTTAATCGCTCGAATTAGCCTTTACTGTAGAATCCCTTTTCTCCGAGTACTCTGAATCTTATTGTTTCTTATAGGTATTGAGAAATTGGATTTGGTGTTGTAGATGAGCAGATAGGTTTCTTCATTGGCCATCATTTCCTTCAATCGACTCAAAAGGATATGGCTGCTTCGATCTCTAGAGGACTTCTTCGCTCTTTGACAGCTTTAGGACGCAGCGGTTTACCGAGTATTATCTCAGTTTCCAAGCTTCTCCATTTTTTTCTGATTCTTGTGGTGTAAAAAATGTAAATTTTGTTTCCTTTGATCTCTGATTGCTTTCTTTCAAACAGATTTTTCTGCGAATGCACCTGGAAATGGTTTATGTTCTCTTCCTAGTGATCTGAAGGTTGGTGCTTTACATCACTTTCCCATAATTGAAATTCCACTTTCTACTTGGCTGGTCATCTTTCTGAGCACTTTTTGTTGTCAATACAGTATGGAATGGCTTTACTTTCCAACCGAAGGCTCTCCACTTCTATTTTGACTCCAGACTCGAGTGGTGATACATTTCCTTATGATCTACTCTCCAAAAAGACGGTGATTACACCAGACCGAACCATAGGTACAGAAGTACTTAACATTCATCGAACTTGGTTAGATATATGTAAATGTTACCAACTCATGTTGTTTCCTGAGCTTTTTGTACCTACCTATTGAGAATCTTGGAGTGTTGGTCTTTAAAAAAATGTGGTTACTCTGTTTTTTAGGAGGATTAATACATGTCCAGGCCTTGCTTAGCTTGTTATATGAAAGGTTAACACATGTTTGATTACCAAATCTTCTGCTCTTGTTACGCTCTGTATGTCCTCACTTCTTTGTGACCTGACCAAGTCTCTGATCGATGATGTTTTCTTTATTGCTTTCCTCCTTTTATATATTCTGGACAAGTTCTAAGTATATTGATGTTTTCCGTAGGACATTACCAAGACTTGGTCATTCCGGTGACAAATTTTCAGAACGAGGACAAGGGTTTCATGGTTTTAGCAGGTGATGTCTTTGATGTTCCGATAAGGAAAGATATCATTCACCATGTCGTGAGATGGCAGCTTGCGAAACGCCAGCAGGTAACTAATAATTCTCCCACATTCCCTGAACTAGTCTTATAAACGAACAATCAATAAGTGTGACACATTTGGTGGATGTTCAGGGAACTCATTCGACCAAAACAATAAGTGAGGTTTCGGGAACTGGTAGAAAGCCATGGAATCAGAAGGGTACAGGTCGAGCTAGACATGGTACTTTGCGTGGCCCGCAGGTAAAATCAGTTTTGGATTTTAATCTTTAAAAAAAGGATATATATTAAGCTTTCTTGTCACCAAACTGTTTCTGATTAACTTTCTTGAAACCGTTAGTTCCGAGGTGGTTGCGTAATGCATGGGCCCAAACCGAGAAGCCATGCAATAAAAATGAATAAGCAGGTTCGACGGCTTGGACTGAAGATAGCACTCACGGCTCGAGCCGCAGAAGGAAAAGTCAGCTTCTTTCTCTTCTCAATCATATATACTCTTCATTTTCAGTAACTCTGCCTTGCTATCAGCTGAATGTTTTGGGAAAACTATGCAGCTCCTCGTGTTTGATGAAATGGCATTGCCAACACATAAAACAAAGAACATCGTGAATTATTACAATCAAATGGAGAACACAAAGAAAGTACTCGTTGTAGAAGGTGGTCCTATCGATGAGAAGCTGAAGCTAGCTACCCAAAATCTCCACTATGTCAACATACTTCCATCAATAGTAAGTTACAGAATCACATGCCAAACTTTGCGGTTTCTTGATAAACTGGTTAGCGAAGCTTGAATCTCGTTTATGTAATGCTTTTGCAGGGGCTTAACGTCTACAGCATTTTGCTCCACGATACGCTTGTGATGTCCCGTGATGCTGTGAATAAGATCGTTGAGCGACTGCACACTCCTATTAACCGTTAAAGCGGCAACAGTGTATTTTAAATCGCTCTAGATATTTTTCTCGTCCAGGGCTATCACGCTGACCGGTTCATTGTTACCTTTTCGGTCTGGTTTTGCAATCTGGAATGTTAAAAGAATTGAGTTTTTTAAGTGTATTATTTCTCTGTTTTTAGACATTCTACCTTTTTTTCCTCGTCTTAAATATTTCTGTTACGCTTTTGTGTTTTTGATTTCGACAAAAAGAAAAAAGACAAGTGGTTTTGATATAAATCTTTTGAACTAAGTAACTTCATTTGATGCCTTTTTCTCATCTATCGAAACCAGCTTTTTTTAATGTTTGTTTTATTTAATTCATTTTCGTATTACGCTATATTTTTTTTATCTCGTGGTTGTTATAAAACGAATGAATGATTAAGAGTTGAAATAAAGTAGTAACAAAAAATAGTTGATGTATTATTCTGGGTATGCAGAAAGTTGGTGTTTTAAAATGATGTTAAAAATTAAGTTGGTATATTATTTCAAAAATTTCGCTAGTCTGGTTTCAATCATTTTTCTCCAGCTATTGTACCGAACCAGATCATTCAAGCGGTGTTAAAGCCTTGACATTCGGTTTAGTATGGATTAGGTTTTGTATTTAACCCGAACCAAAGAATTCAATTCATACAAGTTGCTGGATATTGATTTGTTGAGCACTAACAATTTATTTTTTTCGGTTTACTTCGGTTATGAACTAGAGAACCTATGGGGTTACCAACATTTATCAAAATTCACAGCATTAAACTCTGTTTTTTCTCGACTTTTTTCACAATTTCGTTTCTATTTTTTAATTTTTTTTTAACAATTTTGTTTCTATTTTCCCATATACAAATCAAAATCAAAATGATAAAATGTGTCAGAATGATGTTCAATAAACATTTGGTGGATGCAGGTGTCTCTTCTTTGCTGTTGTTTTTGCTTAATCTTTCAAATCATATGAAGGTAAACTTTCAAATCATATGAAGGTAAACTGTTTTTTTTACAAAGATATGGAAACAAAAGATTATGAGAACCAAAATGGGGTTTGCCCATTAACAATAAACAATGTACCTTAAAAAGAGAATTCAAAAGATCACCTCTTTGGATCACACGGTAATGGACGAGTCCAAAAGTAAGCATCAGCAAAGCAAGAGCATCTTTCGCAAATATTCTCTACACCAAACCAAAAGACTTTAAATGCAAAGAACAGAGCTTTTTTTTATATATTTTTCTGCAAATTTTGCTAATTTTCAAACAAATACCTTGGTGGGATCAAGGACCAACATCTTATCCAATAGTTCAAGAGCATGGTGATCAAACCTGTGGCAGAATCAAGAATAAAGCATAGTAAAAGGTGTGATAGAGATTATAAATAATACTTTATAATATAAATACTATTACTTACGCTCGATACTTGATGAAGCGGAAGCTATTACGGATAAAATTTCTCCCTTAAGCATCTTTTGTATAAAATTAACAACTTATTTTTAGCATAATTAAAATACCACTAACTCGAAACCCTATACCAGTTATTTTAATCAGTCGTTTCACAAAGTTCGAAAATCCTCTTTAATTATTCATTTTAATTATTTTTTGTAATTTGAAAAATACACTATTTTAATATTTTTATAACTAAATTTATTAATATATTAAAAAAATATTTTGACTAGGTTTAGTAACTTTGTGAAACAGTTGATGAAGATTGTTGGCTTCGGGTTTCTAGCTTGTATTATTTTGCACCACATGCCAGTTGTCTTCATTAAGTGTTCCACAAAATTCATAGATCTTCTTCAGTTGATCCAAGATGGTTCAAAGCATGTGCAAAATTATTTGCTTCTTCTTCTTCACGCATCTATTGCTGCTGCTTTTACTTAATCTTTCAAATCATATGAAGGTAAATGTTTATTAGCCCCCAAAAAATAAAAGTAAACTGTTTTTTTTTTTTAATAAAGACATGGAAACAAAAGATTGTAAGAATTTTCCATTAACAATAAACAACGAAACTTAAAAAGAGAATTCAAAAGATCACCTCTTTGGACCACACGGTCGGTAATGGATGAGTCGAAAAGTAAGTTTTTGTACCGGCATTCTCAATAAGACATTAGACAGTTTCCAAAAAAAAAAAACTGCTAGTAGCTTTTGTATCGGCAATTTAAATCGCTTTTGATATTGGTATTCTCGTCCATGTTATCACGCTGACCGGTTCATTGTTAGCTTTTCGGTCTGGTTTTGCAATCTGGAATGTTAAAAGATTTGAGTTTTTGGGTGTATTATTATTTCTCTCAGTTTTTTAGACATTCTATCTTTTTCATCGTCGTACACTTCATTTTATGCATATTTCTCATCTATCAAAACCAGCTTTTTAATGTTCGTTTTATTTAATTCATTTTAGTATGACGCTCTTCTTAAAATGGCAGATAGTTTTTATTGTACGATTATATTTTTTTAATCTCGTGTTTTTTATAAAATGAATGAATGATTAAGAGTTGAAATAAAATAGTAACAAAAAATAGTTGATGTATTAATCTGTGTTTTAAAATGATGATAAAAATTAAGGTGGTATATTATTTCAAAAGTTTCCTAATCTGATTTTAATCAATTTTCTCCGGTTTAAACCGGCTATTATACCGAACCAGATTATTCAAGCGGTGTTAAAGCCTTGGCATTCGCTTTACTACGAATTTGGTTTTGTATTTAACCTGAACCAAAGAATTCAATTCATACAAGTTGCTGGATTTTGACTTGTTGAGAGAGCTTTTTTGATATATTTTTCTGCAAATTTTGCTAATTTTCAAACAAATACTTTTGTGGGATCAAATGCAAATTTTGCTAATTTTCAAACAAATACTTTTGTGGGATCAAACACCAACATCCTATCTAATAGTTCAAGAGCATGGTGATCTAACATGTGGCAGACTACTTACCTTCTAAGCGGAAGCTATTACGGATAAGCTATTACAAATAGAATTTCTCTCTTATGCATCTTTTGTGGAGAATTGACAACTTCTTTTTAGCATAGTTAAAATACTATAAACTCGAAACTTCATGCCAGTTGTTTTAATTAATCGTTCCACAATATCGAAAATCATCTTCAATTGATCATCCTAATTAACATTTGTAAATTTAAAAATACATTGCTTTAATTTTTTATAACTAAATTTATTAATATATAAAAAACTATTTTGACCAGATTTATGAACTTTGTGAAATAATCGATGAAGATGACTGGCTTAGGGTTTCTTGTATTATTCTGCACCCTAAGCCAATTATCTTCATTAGGTGCTACACAAAATTCATAAATCTTGTTTAATGGATCATCCTAGAGACGGTTCAAAGCATGTACAAATTTATTTGCCTCTTGTTCTTCTTCACGCATCTATTGTTGCTACTTTTGCTTAATCTTTCAAATCATATATAAAGACATGGAAACAAAAGATTGTAAGAACCAAAATGGGATTTTTCCATTAACAATAAACAACAAAACTTAAAAAGAGAATTCAAAGGATCACCTCCTTGGATCACACGGTAATGGATGAGTGGAAAAAGTAAGCATCAGCAAAGTAAAGCAAGAACATCTTTCGCAGATATTCTCTACACGGCTGCTGGGATTGGCTATTATTTTCGACAAGAACCTATGGTATTCTTGTACTTATGGAGTACTGCGTCTAACCATTTTGCTTTTTTTTTTTTAAATATAATTATTTATATACTTTAATTATAGATTATAAGCCATGACACTAAAACATACAGTTTTGACAAAAGTATATTAGATTTGACTCCTAAAAAAAGTATATTAGTCCCAGTACATGGTCCCCAAGTTGTAACGAACTAGTAACTGCTTCGAGATCAAACACTACACAATGTCATAAGTTCACTTTGTATGAAAATGTTTAATTTAGAGAAAAAGGTTTGGTGTTTACTTGGTATCGTATGTGTTAGCTATTCTGATCAACCATAATCTCCCTGAGCCATTTAATTGTCAATGACAGCGACTATAAACACCTCACTCTTTCCTCCATCTTCTTCATTTTTTTCCCTAGCAAAGAATTTGTGAGATATCGACATGTTTGGCACAAACAACATATTCTCGAAATCAACACCTACAAAGAAAACAAAAACATCTATTCTAAGTTACCGGCGTACGTCTTAGGATCGGACAACTGGAACTTTCTGTTCCTACTTGTTTCATTCATCAAGAAGAGATTAGTGAAACCAAGATGTTATAGACCAAGTGTTAAACTTACCCCTAAGATCCAGCTTGAGTAGATTCGCTCAAAGAAAGAAAGATAGGAAATGAGAATAAACGAGACAACAATCAATATTTGGTAACCCAGAGAACAAAATCGTCCCTCTCTCTCTCTCTAGAAACCCTAGAGTTTTTACAAAAAGAACTCTGTGAATAACTCTTAGCTACCCTCTTGACCACAATTAGCTTAGCTTAACCGCCTAACTAATTATCCTCGTAACCAATGAGAGAGAGACACCTGGCTTCGTCACTCAGACTAAACCAAAACCTCTAGCTAGACCAGCGAGTCTTCTCCAGCTCACAACACTTTCTTCTTGACTTGAGTCACCACCACCTTCCATTCTTCTTGGACATTCTTCTGGGCCACGCAACTTGGGGATGAGGTAAGGAACTAATAGCCTAGGTTATATATCTCTGACATGACAAGTTTCTTCACCATCTAATTCATCCTAAAGCGTCTTGACTCTTGAGTGTGATGTAATACGTGGAAAGATCCATGTTCACTTGAGCTGGTAAGATCGCTGAAGATTGGTGATGTGGAATCTTGTTAGCATATCCTTCCAAATCTCTGAAGCATTATTACAACGCAAGACACTCTTGTTGATGTTCTTAGATACATAGTTGAGATTTCACCATCGAATTACAACGCGATGAGATTCATGTGGTCAAGGAATAGAACCATCAATGAATGCTAATTTGTTCTTAGCAATCGAACAAGACATGGTGAAGCTCCGAAGTTGGCTTTGACACTTGGCAAGATCACTGATAAGGCGATTAGAAAACGAATAGGTTCGATTATAAATTTTCTTTTTGGTCATCTTTAAATAACGCATCTTGATCCAATAAGAAAAGTTCCTCGTTTGACCGAGGTATTATTGGAAGAAAAAATATATTAATATTAGTATTTTGGATTTTTTCTTTTTAATTTTAAATATGGTATTTTTGAGAATTTCCCAAAAATATAATTAAACAGCCTTTTGTGGTTTAACTTCAAGGACCAAGTGATTTGCATCTTTGTGGTTTAAATCACAACATTTGTGAAAAGATAATGAAAAAAAATTCACAAGATTAATGCATTCCAAATCTTTTATGACCTACAAGAGGAGGAGCATTCCAAATCTTTTATGACCTACAAGACAATTATAAGCAAGAAATTTCTGTTATCTTATAAAATCTTTTCATCAAACACATTGCCTTGCTTATAATAGTCTTTTAGGCATGTTCATGAAGAAGTAGAAAACTAAAAACAAATAAGATGTCATAAATTTTTGAAAATATGTTCCCATTCTTTAAACCTTTTTCTACAGAAACGGTCTATATAATCACCATGCACCATTTCTTTTCGATCTTATGAAGATAAAACTATTACAAAGTAATCATCAAAGTGACAATCTCAACTCCAAATCTAGCTCTTGATTGTCACTCGATCCCGAGTTCTGGTTTCCCGATCCCAACGATTTACTTCGCCTTGTTGAACTTGGATCCTATTTCAAGAAACAAAATTTTTTTTTTGCTTAGATCACTTATATACAAATCGACTACACACTTTTAACAAAGTTAATTAACCAACGTCTAATGATGATATAAGTACATTGAACCATAGTTACACTAAGCCTAAATAAACCGAAAATTCGAGTGGAACAGATCCTATTTCAAGATACAAACAAAGTGGATCCTTTCTCTAAAAATATATAAAAGTATACACAGACTAATAATCATGTGATCAATGAAAATGTTACTAACAATTCACCCCACTAGTTTAGACAAGAACATGTGAAACTCTTTTTTTTTTTTTCATTCTAATTAAGACATGATGCATATATATACACATATATGTGTGTGAGGGTATTTGTATAATAAGAACCTCGTGTACAAAATATCTTGTGGCGCCTGGTTCCAAAGAATGTTGGCTCTCTAAGATGCCGTAGCTTGGGTTCCAACTACAGAAGACCAAACAAAACATCTAACATAAATACACATACATATTTATAAACCTAAAACGGAGAGTGGAATGTGATTTTATATCTACCTCATGGTTTCGTATTGATCTCTACCCACCTGCCAATACCAAAAAACAAAATAAGTGACATTCTTCTTTATAAACATATGCACACACACACTATCATGTGTAAATCTCACACAAATAGAGCATTTTATACACCATCATGTTTGGGTAGAATCCATAAGGAGTCGATGATGCTGATGATGATGATGGTATGGATGAATATACTCCTTGAATCCTTACATCCTCCTATATATTTTCACATTTGCATATGAGGGTCTAATTAGTATACATATTAATAATACTCAAGAATCGAATTAGATTAGATTAAAGATTAAAAAAACAAGTTTGTTTTTTTTGGATCAATACAAGTTTGTAAAATCAAGTTTGTATGATAGATAAATGATTTTTGACTGGATGGAACATGGTTGTGGGTCAAGATAAGATAGGTTGTTTAATCTTTGTGTTGTATTTGATTGTTAAATTTAAAGAACAATTAGGTAAAATCCTTAACCCTTAAATCCTTAATACATACGGCAAGAATAATAAAAAAAAACTCCTTTAGATCCGATGACCCGTACGAAAAAACCAAACCTACAAGATTATTTTGTCACATACAACCAGACTTGAATCCAGGTTATGACACGACACGATATACACCACTATATTACACATGATTATATATAATTATTGTATGTATATATGTATGTAAAATGTCACCTGTGGATACAAAGGAGTATAATTGTTGAAGATGTTGCAAGTCATCTCGCCGTGTAATCTAATCTTCTCCAGTTGTGCTACTCCGAGACCTCTCTGTGGCTGCTTCGGCTTCTCGGAACCATTCTTCTTCCCTCTTCTCGTCGCCGGAGATGAAGAAGACGACGTCGGAGATGATGATGACGGCGAAGATCCTCTCATGTTTGGTCTACCAAAGAAACTACTTCCCATGTTTCTTTGATCAGATCTAATTATAACTTCCGGTCTTGATGTTGCACTGGAAATTGAAGAACTAGAGAGAGATAGTCTTCAAGAGAGAAAGAGAGAAATGACTTTTCTTATTTTAGTTGCTTTAAGCTAAGGAATCAGAGAGATCTCTTTCATGGTGAAATGGTGAGCTCTTTTTTATAAGTTTTTTTTGGAAAACTAATTTTTATTTGTAAGTTTTTTATTTAAAACCCTTAGTATAACTACTGCATCGCTGGATCAGATTGTGTCCAGATTTCAATAGATACGCCACGCACACAAATACATTACATTACATAGATTTTATGCCCTTATTTTGATTTTCCAACTCTTTTCTAATTTATTTAATATGGATAATTAATTTACCATTTTATTAATTACAATGATTATGCAATAGAATAATGTTAATGATTAGCAATTTTTTCTTAATTATTTCTTGCTTTTGGATGATATCCAACACAAAAGACTTCTAATGTTGATTCGATCTAATTATTCAGCTCTAATCGAGAAACTCAAATTATAAATTGAAATTATTACAATATATTGTTTCATTTTGACCCAAGTAACCGAACAGCTTATGAATGATCATAATTCATAATACATAGACCATAGTTACGATCTTTTTGTTTTTAAGTTTTCAGACATTTTTTTGTTAACTCTTCGTATTCTCGAGAAAATAACAAAATAACTTTTTCATCACTGAAATATCATTTTCAAACTATCAATAGATTTTGGGTTCAGAATCAAAAGTATTATTTACGTCGTAACTTCTATATATGTATTATGGTCACCAAGATTGTTGCCATATAATGATAGATCTTATATATCTAGATATATTAAGGGGATTCTATTAGATTCATGTATTTAATTAAACTCCGTAAATCTTCTTTGTAGCTCCCAGAAATTTTTTCAATAACCAAATATTTTGATTTAATTAGATAATTAAACATGCAATGATATTAAATTAACTTTTATAGCATTAGGAATTTAAATATCAAAATGCAAAGTTATGGTATGTATAAAATATTAACCAATTTGATGAGTTACAAACTAGCCACAAAATAAATATATATGTTTTGGTTAAAATGAAAACAAAGAGCATCAAAAATTCAAAAGAAATATTTATTGATTTTGGGATCAAAACTGAGTGTGGTCCTATCCTCTCTTTGCCTTGGCAGCTTCTATGCAACTTATTGACCAATACTTAAAACAATGCAACTGATTAACCAATAATATTTCGACAATACTTTTAATTATAATTTTTATATCAGTCGTTTTCCAACTACAAATATATAGAGTTACAGTTTTTTTAAAATCTATACATGAATTATCAACTAAAAATTATTTGGAACGAATACATTGATTCGCATATACAATATATTAGATTAGAATCCGCGTATACACAGGTTTATAATTATAATAACAAATTTTAAAAATTATTTTACAAAAGCAAAATCTGATCACTGGTGAAAATATATTAAAACATATTATTGAAAACTAAGAGTTATGTATTTTAATTCTTATTGCTCAATTAAAATATTCAAAACAGATCATCTGTTGTGAGTCGTAAGCAACATTAACTTTACTTATCTTGTAGTTTAATTTTTATCAACTATTTTTTTCTGTTTCACTGTGTTAAAAATTTGGGTATACAATTCAAATCCTTCAAATATATTAACTCTCTCTTTATGTAACATTAATCCTACTTCTTTTGTAGTTTATTATTTTAGCATTTTTTTGTATTTTGCTACGTTAAGAACTTGAGTAGTTTAACATTTTTTCAATTTTTCTGTTTTTTGTTACGTTTAAAACTTATATGCAATTCAAGTCTTTCGAATTCAGTGAAAATTCTACAAATAAATATTCGATAAATTAATAATTTATAAGTTAATAAATTTCTTTAGTCCCGAGTTGGATCGGTTTAAAATATAATATAAAATTAATAAAATAATAAGTATCTTAAGAAACCAATGTAAATATAAGTCTCAATTATATCATAAATTAATAATTAGCATAAACATAATTTTATATAAATATATATAACTATGATAATATACTAAAATATGAGTATAATGGTATTTACTTTTATTAAATTTAATTTATTGTTACAACTCGTCTATAATTTTTAAATGAAATTTAGAAATTATTACAAACTTTAAAGAAAATATTTTTTTAATTATTTATTTATAATTTATTTTATTCAAAACTGATAAATTCATAATTTTTTAAATTAACATAATATCAAAGTCACAAAATTATTAATTTATAGAGTTTCTAATGTATGTTAACTCTCTCTCTTTTAACTCTTTCCAAACGAACAAATTTTATCTTTCTTTTCATATTCATCTCCCGTATATGATTTTTCTGTTCAAGACTCACGTAAAAAGATTTTCTACTTTATTTTCGCAGATACTCCTCCTTCTTGAGCTCATCATCATCTAATGTCATATCATTAGCATATATGATTTTCTTTTCTTGCAATTATACGTTGCAAATTTTGCTTGTATATTTTTTTTTTTTTGAAATTGTCTAATTATTGAATACCAGAAACAAATTAGGTTAGCACAATATTCAGTAAACAAATCATAAAGATTGAATTTTTAGAATACCAAATAAACATAATGGATAAAAATTTAGAAGATCGTATAAAGTATTTTAATAATAATAATAATAATAAAAGAAGGAAAATTATACTTATAGAATGAAGTTCAAAAATTATTTTTTTGTTTAATATTATGAGAGACTTTAAGCTTTCATATAGATGTGGGTAGTATTTTCCTTTTTCTTTTAAGATTAGTATTTTAGTTTATTTTTCTTTTTAAATAGATATATTTTCTTTTATTAATTTTGTTCGAATAGTATTTTCTTATTTTTTTTAGGATTGGTGTTTTAGATTATTTTCTTTTTTTTAACTTAAAATATATATTTTCTTAGTTTTCTTCATTTTAATCGAAACATGTGTTAAAATTTTAAACGAAAAACTTAATATGTGTCATGATCATGTGAATTACTAACTTTGACGTATCCAACTTTATATAATAATATAGAGTTTCACCATTATATTTTATGTGAAATTCTTACAAAGGGTACTTGAGTTATTTTGTTACTTATTATATAAACAGCATTGTCTAAGACATGTAGCTTGAATTGCCAGAAATGTAGCGAATTAGCGATGACGGGTCACTTTTGAATAACCAATAATTAACAGCCACGTGCTAGTTCATATGCGGGCTATTAATATTCTTTTTGTGCATGGCCCTAAATCCTTATATAGAGATATCTATCAATTCGATAATCTTAAATTGGATTCATGGTTAATTTCTGATAAGATGTCAAATTAGAATTTAGTTTCATGATGTTTTTTTGGTCAAATGTTTTATGATGTTTTAATACCTTATTTTTTAATTAGAAAATTAGGTTAGTATCCATCTGTTGTATATAAAAAATAGCTATTTCGTGTGTTTAAAATGATAAATATTTTTTCAAAATATTTCTTTCAAATAGTTAAATGTTTTCAATTTTGTAGGTGTAGTTAATACTTTTTTTACTTAATTTACCTTTATAATATTGACTATTTCAATAAAGTTTTAAATTAGGATTTTTGATTTAATTTACATCAGTAAATTTTACCTCTAATATTTATTCTCTAACATATGTTAGATGTTAAAATATGATGTATGATTTGTATAAAACTCAAAAACTTTTTTTTAATTTGGTATAAAATTTAACATTTAAACAAAAAAAACTAAAACTTGTTACTGATTTTTTTTTATAAAAAATATATATTTATTATCAAGTTGATTTTGAGCTATTAAGATTATTTTTAGAACTAAAAACCTAGATTTAAATACAAATACAAATCTCTTAAAAATATACATAGGTAATTACAAACCATTTAATCTAAATGGTTAAATTACAAGAATATGTAATATGCATATATGACTATACGTTGATATAGATGCTTATATTGTATATATATGCATAAAAATAAATACGTGTGATCACAATGATTTGATAACTTAGAGACAGAAAAGTGTATCAAAACAGGGGATTGTGTTGAGATTAGAAGCGATTTGATGAGTAATTAAGAGAGCATAACACCAAAAAGACAGAGCATGGTGGAGAGAGTATTTATTAAAAACAATAATGAAATAAATATTAATATGAAACAATATCTACTGTAGATTGTGTGCACATGCATTTCCCCTACTACATTATATCACACTCTGTCTATTTCTTATCTATCTTTACTCGTATATGATTTAATATTACTCAAATTATTGATTTGTTAAGGATTTATATAAAATCATTTTTTCTCGAATCAAATACCTTTGACCCTGCTACTTGTCTCGACAGCCAATCATAAATAATCGATCATTACAAACTTTAACAAAAACAATTACTCTCTCTGTTTTCTGAAAGATAACGTTTTAAAAAAAAATTGTTTATTAAAAATTGACTGTTTTAACTAATGTTCTTTTAGCTTTTCAAAAATAATTAATGATACTCCTAATATTTTAGGTAAAATAAGTTAAAATGAATGAAAAACTTAGAAAGAGAAAAAGTAATAATTAATATAGGAGTAAAAAATGAAAAAAAAATAATTAAAAATAAAGAAAAACAGTTACAATATTTAAAATATCATGCATTAAAAAACAGAGAGAGTACCAAAATACGATAATCCAATCAACAAAGGAAATGGAAAAGATGAGCAAACATGATATCTCTGGAAAAAAAAACTAAGATACAATGTCAGAATATCTACAAATCGGATGAATTGCAATTTTTCTAAAAAATAAAAAAAACTGAAATATCGGCTATCATCACATAGCAAGCAAGGATAGAATAAATATGAAGAGAGACGAAAGCCCGGCTATATTGGAATCAATCCACTTCCCTTGATTTGTTGCAAAAAAGAAGATCCGAAATTTGGAATAGATATCAAGAAATAAAATCTTAAGTCTAAGACATAGCAATCTAAATTTGGGCTTTTCAAATCGGCTTTCGCGTTTTTTCTATATGATAGTCAGAAAACCTATTTTAACCATAGGGCTATAACATATAAAAAAATCTTGATTCTCATGAAATTGTTTAATTACTAAATATTTCATCAGGAATTTTTTTTTTAGTTTATGTAGCATTTTAGTTTTTTTCTAAATAGCAAAACCTTATAA